AATTATTTAATTTTATTGATCCTTTCAACTCAGAGATCTATGTCCTTCTGTATAGGAAATTTTCTTTCTTTAAATATATATATACACACATATGTGTTTGTATATATATATATATATTTTTAAATAATTATTTAATTTTATTGATCCTTTCAACTCAGAGATCTATGTCCTTCTGTATAGGAAATTTTCTTACTTTAAATATATATTATATATATACACACACGTATATATACACATATGTAATGTGTATATATATTTAAAATAATTATTCATTTAATTTTATTATCATTATTATTATTTTTAAATTTGCTACAGGGCACTTACACTCATGAGAGAGAGAGAAAGTGAGAAAGCAAGCCACCAGGACTGGGAATCGAACCACAGTCAGCCATATGAAAGTCCAGTGCCTTTACCACCATGCCATCTGCTGGCCCCCTTACATTATATTTTTACTACCCATTCCTACCTTTTTCTATATTCTCTTTCTGTAAATTTCACTGGAGGAATATTGTACTTCTTTTTCCTTTTTTATATTTTGTTAGTGTTTGTGCTGCTGGAGAGAGACAGAGAAAGGAAAGTGAGAAGTCACCCTCCATGGGGAATGGCCACACTGCAATTCCTTCTCCATTTTCTGTCTTTGGGATTTTGGACAGGCATGCACACATTCCTGGCATGTTTTTCAAGCTGCTGGGTCCAGGATTTGAATTAGGTGGCCAGTCATGTGGGATTCAGCCACCTTAACTCTTATCACTGCTAGCCCTGAAATTGATTTTCTAACAATTTTATTTTCTCTGTTAGTGTCTATATATTTCTCCTTTTAGTTCTGGGGATGTTTGCTCAACTTTTTTTTTTTTTTCTTTTTTAACCGAATTAAAACATTTTGGCTCTCTTTAATCTTATTTTTTGTTTTCGGAACATCACTTATAATATTCATCTTTGTCTCAGTATGCTCAAAATAGTAGTCCCCTTTATGCAACAGGACCCCAGTGAATGTCTGAAACTGCAGACGCTACCAGTCCTGATTGTATTCAGTTGGATCATGTTTCTGTTCATGTCTTCATCCAAAGATATAATGCTTCCTTTTTAACTAAGCACTCATGCACTATGGCTGTAATTTTTGTAATTTGAGGCGTTGTAGCAAAATGAGCACAAATTTTCTTTTTCACATTTCAAGGATAGAAGGTTTCTTTCTTACCTTAGATTTTATTTTATTTTTATTTTTTTAGGTTTTTGCCATAGGACACATGTGTGTGCTGGAGAGAAAGGGAGGCAGGGAGGGAGTGGGAGGAAGGGGGGGTAGAGAGTGAGAGAGAAGGAAACTGAGAAATCACCACCCCCAGGCGATATAGCCACACCACAATCCCTTTTCCTTCACTCTTCTCTCAGGACTCGAGGCATGCATGCACATGTGCCTGGCATGATCCGTAAGCAACTTGTCCAGGACTCAAACCGTGGTCAGCCATGTGGGAATCCAGTACCTTAACCACCATACTAGCTACTGGTTCTTACCTTAGATCTTATGTGCCTCAGAATATGAGTTTTTTTCTATCCTTAATGAGAACTTTCACCTTTTCATTTAAAGGAAGCACTTTATGGTTTTTCTGTGGTGTATCAAAATTGCCAGCATTACCAGTCTTATGCTTTGAGGCATTATTAAGTAAACAGAGGTTAGTTATATGTATGCTGAGATATCACAGCAATTGATTTGATGACTGAAATGGAACAAGTCACTAAGGAACAAGTAGAATATACAGGGTGGATATGTTGAATTTATGTGCAGCATAGGCTGGAGGCAGATGGCATGAGATTTTATCATGCTACTCAGAAGGGTGTGCAATATTGGGACCAGCAATTACATAATGGTTAGGTGACTGGACTCCTACATGGCTCTCTGCAGTTCAAGTCCTGGATTCAGTGGCTTGAAACTCACTCCAGGCATGTGTGCATGCATGCCCAAAATCCTGAGAGAAGAGTAGAGGAGAAGGGATTAATGGTGTGACTATCCCCCTGGGTATGATTTCTCTCTTTCTGTCTTTCTATCTCTCCAGTGAGTGCATGCGCCCTATAGCAAAAATCTTTCTCGAAAAAAAAAAGAAAAAGGAAAGAAGGGTGTGTGGTATAAAAATTATGAATTGTTTATTTCTGGAATTTTCAGTTTAATATTTTGGCCCACAGTTGACCACTGGTAACTGAAACCACAGAAAATAAAACTGCAGATAAAGGGAGATACTACTTGTACACTAATATTCTCTATTTAATTTCCCCTCTATATATTTATTTTTCCTTTTGGATCCTCTTATTTGTTTTACCATCTTTTGGTCTTTTAGAGAGAAGGTATTTCTAAAATTTCTGGTACTTGTTGGTTGTCCATGTTTAAGAGTGAGGCACTGGGGTCAGCAGGTGGTGTGGTGGTTAAGGTGCTAGATTTCCACATGGCCAACCATGGTTCTAGGCCTAGACCTGTTAGCTTGTTGTTATACTTTCTCTCTCTCTCTCTCTCTGGTAAAAAAAATAATAAATCCTTTTTTTTCCAAAAAAAAAAAAAAAAAAAAGGTGAGGAATTAAAAAGCTTCCTAGGGAGCCATGTGTACTTGATTGGAACTTCTAAAATGGTGCTATTTATTTTATGTACTGCTTTGATCTGTTTCTTCAGGTAAAAAATGTGTAATTTGCTTTGAACAGAATAAACCTATTCATTTTCTATGAGTCTAGCATCTTATTCCTTCTTTGCTCTCTCCCTGCCATTCCAGAATCTGATTCAGTTTTTCTAGTTTATCTTCACCCTGTGGTTTCTTATTCTTTGTTTCTCTTTCTTTATTATAATCCTTTTTCTCCTTAGGATTATTTATTTAATTTAATTTATTATTATTATTATTATTATTATTATTATTATTATTATTATTTAATTTGACCAGAGAGAGAGAGGGGAAATGAGAAAACAAGCTTCAGGTCTGGGACTCGCACTACAGTTGGTGATGTCAGAATCCAGTGCCTTAGCCACCACTCCACCTGCCAGCTCCTTATACTCATTTTTATTGAAACAATTATGTTAAAGGTGTGTGACTAGAACTCAGTTTGAGAGAATTTGATTGTTGCAAAATTTTTCATCCACATAAATGACTACTATCATCCATTACCTATATATCTATTTTTTATTAGTTTTTATCTTAGAGAGTTAGCTTTGAGTTGCTAACTGATTGTTGCTGCTGAGTGCAGGTTACAAATATCAATTCAGAAATTGTTATTTTTAGACTTTATTATCATACTATATAATAAGTTTTGCTTCTCCCTTTTTGGAACTTAAGATAATTCAAAAATGGCAGAACTCTTTATGGAATGTGAAGAAGAAGAGCTGGAACCATGGCAGAAGAAAGTAAAAGAGGTCGAGGATGATGATGACGATGAGCCAATTTTTGTTGGAGAAATATCAAGTTCAAAACCAGCAATTTCAAGTAAGTCTTTTTTTTTTTTTTTTTTTGTCAAGTTTTATAAAGTAGTGTTTTTAATGAAAAAATTTGTTAAATGTTTTATAGTTATTTGAAGGCCTTGTTCTACTCTAAAGAGTTAGGGATGAAGGAAAGGGTGGGAGACCAGATAACTTTCATTTACAGTGGCAGATTGGTAATCTCTCATGGAGTGCTAAAATGAATTAGGCATGATGCCATTTTTGTTGGTGATAGTGAAGCATAGTATTTACTCTTTTTTGTTTAAAGAGAGAATTCTTTTTTTTTTTTTTTCCGCTATAGGGCACGTGTGCTCGCCAGACAGACAGAGAGAGACAGAGGGACAGAAAGTGAGAAATCACCCCCCGGGGGGATGGCCACGGCGCAATCCCTTTTCCTCCATTCTCCTCTCGGGATCTTGGGCACGCATGCACACGTGCCCAGCGTGAGTTTAAGCCGCCGGGTCCGGGACTTGAACCGTGGTCGACTACATGAGAGTCCAGCGACATAGCCATTACGCTAACTGCTGGTCCCAAGAGAGAATTCTTAATATAATTTATTTATTATTATTATTCAATTTGACCAGAGAGGGACAAAGAAAGAGAGACAGAAAGAGAGGGAGAGTGAGAAGGCAAGCCGCCAGGCCTGGGACTTGAACCACGGTTGACCATGTGGGAGTCCAGCACCTTAACCACCACGCCACCTGCTAGCCCCAGTATTTACTCTTAATAGTTGTTTCTTAGTCACTGATTATTTTATACCAGAGTGTATATATCATAAAACTTTTATTCAAAATCTCTTTTTTTAAAAGAATTATTTTAACTTTATTATTATTTTCTAATTTGACCAGAGAGAGAGGGAAAGTGAGAACAGAAGCCACCAAGTCTGAGACTTAAACCATGGTTGGTTGGCCATGTGGGAGTCTAGCACCTTTAACCACCACACCACCTGCCGGCCCCTATTCAAAATCTCTTAATTGAAAACATGATGGTTAAGATTCAAGTTGAATTTATACAAATTATAGATGACTCTAAACAGTACTCTACTAGAATAATGAATAGTAGTTGAAAATAATTCTTTCAGAAAAAGGATTGACTTTCAATTCAAACAGTAGAATTTGTTTTTATATCTATTAAATGAAGAATTAATATGATTTTATTTTCTAAGACATAAACTATTTTTAAAAGGAATGTGGATTAAATGGTTATATAGAACTTCCAGAAAGGAGGGTAAAAACTTATATTTTGGGGACCAGCAGATGGCAAAATGGCTACATCACTGGACTCCCATGTAGTTGACAGCGATTCGAGTCCCGGACCCGGTGCTTAAATTCATACCAGACATGTGTGTGTGTGCATGCCCAAGATCCTGAGAGGAGAATGTAGGAGAAGGGATTGCGTGCAGCATGGCTATCCCCCCTGGGTGGGGGGTGATTTCTCGCTTTCTGTCTCTCAGTCTCTTTCTGGTGAGCGCATGAGCTCTATAGCAACCCCCCCCAAAAAAAAAAAAAAAACTTGTATTTTGTAGGTTATGATCACTAAAAAGTACTATAGCAATAGTTAGTGCTTTGATGATTTGAGTAAATAATCATGAATTTGTAAATGAAAACAGAATCAAGTTGTTGGAGCAGATTTTTCTCCAATAAGACTTCTGTAGTGCTAATTATAGAGCATTGCATTGACATTATCACTGTACTTCTGTGTTTACTTTATAAAATTATTTAATGGGATTTGCTTTTTTCTTCCTGTGAGAGAAAAAAAGGAAATTTTTAGCAGGTTTGGTAGGTTGTTTAGTGTGTTTTTATGTGTGTGCCTGTGCAGACTTTTTAACTTTTTCCTAACAAGCAATTGTAGGCAAATTCTCATTCTTTCAGAATTAGTTTGGCTCCTGGACAAGCTAGAAGTTACAGAGTTCATATGTGTGTAAGAGTGAGGAGCTTTAAAATGATCCTCAAAGTGATGTCAGGCTTAATTGACTTATGGGATAGTGGTAGATTTAAAACTTCTTAATTTATAAGAGATTCTGGTAAACTGTATGCTTAGTTTAGTCTGCAGTTTCTCATAGTTTCCCTTTAAGAACTCAAGAACAATAACAGATAACCCAGTGAGATTCTCCATAATGAAATAAGGCTTTAAAGAGTTGTGAGTGGAATGCAGAGGTTAGGCAAAGACTTGATTTTGAGTCATAAGAATTGTCTGTACAACTTTGTTATCCAAAGAAAGATACATACTTCAATAATGAGTTATATATATTTTCAGAAAATGTTAAGGACTGCTTGAGCTATTTCTGTGCCATGAAAATGTAAACAACTTCTATGTAGTCAGATTTATCATTCTTTTACTTTTAACTTTTGTATTTTAGGTTAAAATGTGAAAGTTTGTTTTTATTCTATAAAACAAGGGTAGTAATCTTGTTTTGTTTCTTTAACGAAGATGTATATATTTAAAATTAATTGTATTCTTAAGTCAGCAATAATGTCTAGATTCCTTCCAGGAATCTGTGTGTGTTCAATTCATGATTCCTGTGATCTTATATTTATTGAGTTTTAAAATAAGTTTAATTTTTTTATAGATATTTTGAACAGAGTTAACCCCAGCTCATATTCACGAGGAATAAAGAATGGTGCACTTAGTCGAGGTATAGTATTATTTTAATTATAAAGTGAAATATTTTGACAAAACTGATTATATAGAAATATATTCAATATATTGTATAATTTTAAAATACAGGTATTACTGCTGCATTCAAGCCTACAAGTCAACACTACACGAACCCAACATCAAATCCAGTGGCTGCCTCGCCAGTAAATTTTCATCCTGAATCTAGATCTTCAGATAGTTCTGTTATTGGTCAGCCTTTTTCTAAACCTGTAAGTGTTTCTGAAACTACACAGTCAGTTCAGGGATACATTGAATATTATTTTTCAATATCAACATTACCCAGTTAAAATTCTGGACTGTCATAGGTAGTCACCTAAGTAGAAGCATTATCAGGATCAGAAAATGTCACCATCTTTATGATAATTCATCCAGTACCCAAAGTAATAAACTTCAGAAACTGCCTCCCTAGGCTATTAATAAATCAGGTAATATGCTTAAATTAAGTGGGTATAGGATTGAAAACTGTGTTATCAAAGATGAATAAAAGTATGATCAGTAATGAATATTGCATAATTGTAAAACAGTGTAAACTGGGCCAGGTGTTCTGAATTGGAAGAATTATTGAGAGGCCATCATAACTTTTGTTTCAGAAGATACACCTTCATAGTTTAGTGAGATTAAAAAACCTTAAAAAAAAGTAATAAATAATAGTAATAATTAACATTTTTTTAGCTCTCAAGAGAGAGATATATATATATATGTGTGTGTGTGTATATATATATATATATGTCTATGTATATGTCTTTCTGCTAAATTTTATACATACATTAATCTCATGAAGTACATTAATCTTGTTAATATCCCAATGAAATAGGCACTATTATTTCCATTTTGTATCTGGAGAAACAGGCTCTTTGAGTTAAGTGATACACTCAAGATCACTTTATGAGGGGGCCTTTAAAAGTGTGGAAAATTGTCTTACAGTATGAGTTTATTTTGGTCCAAAAATTTTTGAACTCTATATATAGTCGTTTTTTCATAATATGCATTTTCTGTGAACTTTTTTGAAGAACCCTCATAGATGGCAGATGATAGATCTGGAATATCAGTCCAGGCTAACTCATAGTTTATGTGTATATACACACATACGTATGTATATATTATGGATAAATGTGTACTTTAAGAAAATGGAGACATTGCCTTTGTTCAACAGTGCTCAAAGTATGGCCTACATTTCCCTGGGGTTCTCTGAGATTCTTTCAGGGACTTAGGAGTCAACACTGTTGTCTTCATATTCAAAGACACTGTTTACCTCTTTCATTGTGTTGATATTTGCATTGATGATGCAAAAGGGGTGGGGGGTAAGCTGTTGGTGCCTTATCTGTGAATCAAGGCAGTAGCACTAAACCTTACTAATAGTTTTTGTTTCAGTCTCTCACTGCACACATAGTAAAACAAATTTCAGTATACTTAATTTCCTTGATAAAGTATTAAAATGTTCTTAATTGTATTAACTCTGTCCTATAATATGTGCCTTTAAAAGTATTCTGTGTGATGCAATGGCTAGTATGTATAAAGAGCTTGTGTGTCTGAAGTATGATGGTTGTCCTGAGGAAAAGCACTTGTGTGTTTGAATTGTGTTTTTTTTATTGAACACCATTTTATTAGAAAGAATGACAGGTCATGGCGTACTATTTATTTCTCTGTTTCAGTATTATAGTGAACATACACTAAAACAACACATGCTTATTATCTCACATTCTCACAGATTCTGTAGGTCAGGAGTCAGATCATGGTTTAGCTAGATCCTCATCTCTAAGGTCTCATAAGGCTGTATTCAAGTTGTGGTCTCTTTCTGAAACCTACCCAGAAAGATTCCAAGTTCACATGGTTTTTGGCAGAATTCTCTTCCTGAGGGGTTTGTTAGACTGAGAGTGCCAGTATCTTGTTGGATTTCAGCAGGCTTCTTGTCAGTGGGTCTTTCTAAGCATGACTGCTTCCTCAAAGGTAGTAAGGTTGAAAGAGTAGTTAGCAAGATATCATTACAGTCTTAGGTAATGTAATCATATACGCAGAATCTTGTATATCCTGGTGACTATGCTATCTTCTGTTAGTTGGAGGGCAAGTAAAGGGTTCTACCATACTCAAGTGAAGGGAATCACACAAATATCAGGAGGTGAGACTCTTGGAGGCCACATTAGTTAGAGTCTGTCTGCCACACATGAATATTTGTTCAAAATCAAACGAAGTACACCTGGCATTTCAAGGAAGGCAACTGGAAGTAGTGTTTCTTGCCAGTGATAAAATTTGAGCTTCCAAGGAAAAATTAGAATTTGGAAAACTTACATTTGTCACCATGATTTAGATAGCTTCCTAACACTTAACGACCTTTCAGATTAATGGTGGTATTAATTTTTTTTTTCCCCTTTGGAGAGGTTTTTGCTATAGGGTGCAGGCGCTCACCAGAAAGACAGAGAGAGACAGAGAGACAGAAAGTGAGAAATCACCCCCCAGGGAGGGATGGCCACGCCACAATCCCTTCTCCTCCATTATCCTCTGGGGATCTTGGGCATGCACGCACATGTGCCTGGCGTGAGTTTAAGCCCCCCGGGTCCAGGACTCGAACTGCGATCGACTACATGGGAGTCCACCGACATAGCCATTACACCAACTGCTGGTCCCGATGGTGATATTAATAAATAAAATTTCTTGATATAGTATAACGAACTATGTCACATTTTGGAGAATCTGCATAACTCAGTGAAACCAACATTTTCCAAGTAACCAATGTTTATGTTACAAAATTATCTATAGGTAAGAGATCCACATAGGTGTTAGACCACTGATTAATGGAATAGAGTACAAAAAATTCAGCAATATGGTTTCAGCTTTTATACTGTAACAAACCTTTAAGAAAAATTTTGTTGAATTTTGGCATAGTATCAAAGAAATATATCTTAAATTACATGAATATATTCCCTTTTCAATTAAATGTTGCTGTGAAGCCAGATTTCCTTTATGTTCTTCAATCAAAACATATCTTAGCAGACCAAAAATATTTGCAGATTAGAGGCTATAGTAGTTTTTGATTAAACTAGACATTCCAGAGATTTGTGAAAATGTAGAACAGTGCCTCTCTACTAAGTTTTTGTGTGTTTGCAGGTATTTTTTGTAAGAATGTTATTTATGTTAATATATAATGAGTTTATTATTGTTATTTTATAATGAATGAATATGTATTTATATTTTCTTTGTTTTAATTTCAATATGGTACATATTGAAAAATATAATCAACATAAACAAAAATTGTTTTAGGGTTTAGTAATTTTTGAATGTTTAAAGGGGTCCTGAAACTGAAGAATTAGTGTATATCACTGTCTTAGAGAAATAGTTGTAAATTTCCCTTATTTCTTAGATGGCAAAAACAATAAGGAAGACTACTAGGTCTCTATCTTGAATATTCTGAGGTTCCACAGACCATTTCTAATGCTTAAAAAAATGTAATAAATGTTTCTGAAGTAAGATGGAAAGCTACTCAGAATGAAATTTCTTTAATGTTAGTTGGGATCACATTAGCTCAGTGATTTTTTTTTTCATGCTTATAATTGGTGCAGCATATTGGGGGGGAAAGCTTTGTTATTTAATGCAGTTTGATGGATAAAATTCTTAACATTCAACCCAAGGAGTAAAAAGAATAACAAAGCAAGGGGTTGTTATTTTGGTGTTATAAAACTTAAAAATTAAGCCTTTTCTGATTCAGAACATTTTATTTCTGTAGACTAGTTTTTAAACCAAAGCACCTCAATTGGTAGTTCCCAATTCTGGGGACTTTTTTTTTAAAAAGAGATTTTATAAATTGGTGGAGCCTGGAAATTATACATTTTTACACACTCTTCAGGTGATTCTCCAAGGTCAAGTTTAAGAATGACAAAAGCATTTCTGGAATGAATTGAGAATCCTATTTAAGGGACTTTTTTCTGAGTCTTTTATTAAATCCACTGGTTTTAATAAATTATAGTTAGATTTTCATTTCATGTCATGTTTTATATATGTGTGTGCTTTTTCATGGAATATCTTTATACTCAACATCTTTAGACAGGGAAGGACAGGATGTATTACTGTTATTATCATTTTAAAAGTCAGTGTGATATACCTTAAGGACACAAGCTTTGTAATCAGACCTGGAATGTAATTCCAGTTCATCAGTAACAAGTAGGGCTGTATTGGGAGCCTTATTCAACCCTACCTAACTTTAGTTTACCTATTTGTAAAATAGATAGTATTAGGTTTTTATTAGTTTCATTGTGGTAGCTATGTATATACATAAATATATACTGTGCACATTTAAAACATAATTGTAGCAACTCTTTTAGTTTGGAAGGTGGATAATGTGAGGCTCAGAAGTGACATCCCAAGGTAGCAACTAATTAATTACAGAGAATTATTTAAATAAATATGCATTTCTTCTGAATTCCAATCTGGTGTCTACTTCTACCCTTATTGATGTATCTAACAACTTTCTGAACTGGTTTATAGGACATTAAGAATTCCCATTGGAGAATTATTTTAATGAGTTATTTGTTATATAATGCATTGTCTCCTCTCTGGAATCTTAGTACTTAATTATTGATTAATGAGAATTATTTCCTTGGGAAATGTTTAACACCATTAATTTTATTATGTTTCTGTTAAAGAAATACTTTGGAAAATGGAATTGAATATTTTTCATTTTTAAGTGCAAATATTTGGAGAAAATATTTACCTTGAAGTAAGACTGTACTTGATTACAGTTGAGTCATGGCATTATTGATTTTTTTTTTTTAATATCACATGTTAAGGCTGAAATATCTGTATCTTCCTTTCAGGCCTCAAATTCTAGGAGTGATGTGAGTTACTTCATTAACTTGTTTCCATAGATTCTGAACAAACCTATGTCAATAGAAAATTTAGTAAAAAAGGACAATTCTTAAAAGCTAGTTATCTGTCAGTTTATAAGCACACCATGAATAAAATCCTTATGTTTATGTTATAAAATATTAAGTGTCTTGAGTGGCAAGTTTAGAGAAGAATAGTACATCAATCAGAACCATAGTCTATATACAGATACATATATGTATTTTTTTCATTCTGTTTGGAACATGTCTGGATATTTCTGAAAAACATGTTAAGGGTTACATAAGTAGTCTATTTAGCCATTCCTCTATTATTGGGCAAATAGGTTTTAAATTCTTTTGCTATTATAGATAATTCATTTCCTTACCATAAATTGTTGAAAGTAGAATAATTGGATCAAAGATAGATATGAACCTTTTAAAGCCTATAGCAAGCTTTGATAACTACAGGCAAAATTTTCTCTCAGAAAAATTACACCAGAGTATAAGCTCTCCTTTGCCAATAGTGAATGCTAACATTGCTTATTAATCTTAACGTTTTAATTCAAGCTAATAGTAGACTTACAGAGAAAATAATCGAAAAGTTCCTGTATCACCTGTTTCTCCTAGCGCTAAACATTTTACCACAGCTAGGTTATTAACATTGCTTCCTACTATTTCACTAGTTTTTCCATTAATGTCCTTTTTCTTTCCTGGTATCCTATTCAGCATCCTGGTTTGCAGATGGCTCTTCTTAGTCTCCTTATATTTTCTCCAGTTATTCACTCATTGTCTTTTATTACCTTGACACTCTTAAAGAGTACTGGCTAGAAACTTATTTTCGTAGTAGATATTATGATCTTTAAAACAATGCCTTCAGTAGGTAAACATGGCCTTTTTAATTTGCATTTATTGGACTAGAGAATTAGAAGAAAGGTATTTTGTCAGTATTAGTCATTAGTATTTTTGCTTTTGAATTGTCTCAGTTTATGTCCTTTGCTTATTTTTCTATTAAAGTGATTGTCTTTTTCTTTTGATTTTTAAGCATTTTCATCTTAAGACTTTCGCTTATTATGACATGTAAAGTGGTTCAAAAGTCACTGAGAGTTTGTTCTCTAGGATGACTGACTTTTATGAATAGTGTTGGATCATATTATGTGTGTGTGTGTGTGTATGTACATATGTATATTATTTGTATACTTAGTATATAATAGTATCAGAATGTATATCCCAGCATTATATTGACCACATTTTTCATAGCTATTTATACTAAATATATATGTATGCTTACATGTAAAATTTATACTGCCTTATACTTGACTACATCATGATTGTGCTCGAACTTTTCACTGTCTTGAGATCCCGTGTTAGCTTGGACCACCCTTTCTCCTGATGGAAGGACTAAAACTTCCTATGAGCCCCAAAGCCCCTAAGAGCAAAGCATCTGCCCAGACCACTCTTAAGAACAACTTCTGTGCGGGAACCAGCAGTTAGCGTAATGGCTGTGTCGCTGGATTCCCACGTAATCGACTATGGTTCGCGTCCTGGACCCGGTAGCTTAAAATTCATGCCGGGCACGTGTGCGTGCGTGCCCAAGATCCCGAGAGGAGAATGGAGGAGAAGGGATTCTGGCGTGACCATCCCCCCAGGGGGTGATTTCTCGCTTTCTGTTTCTATGTCTCTGTCTGTCTGTCTGGCGAGCGCACGCACCCTATAGCTAAAAACAAACAGACAAACAAACAAAACAACAACAACAACAACAACAAATACAAAAAACTGCTTCTGTGCTAAACCCTGTCTGCCTAGCGTTCTTTTTGTTCACTCTTCTATACAGGTTGCTTTCATATTTGCCTTATTCAAGATAGAGCTTTGCCTGGCTCAGCACAGCTTTTGTAGGATAATGGGAAGAGTAGGAGTCTCATTCTGCTTCTGTCCCTTACCTTTTTAAATTTCTTCAATAAATATGCCAAAATTCACATGCTGTCATATATTTATCCTAATGCTAATGCATAACACTGTAGATTACCATTTCGTTTGCCCTGCTATTTTGAATATAGGCTTCTTAGAGGTATAGAAACTTAGTTTTTATAATCATGCCAACTTGAGGGATCTTCAACAGTTCATTGGAAATGGTTATTGTGAAAAAACTATACATGGATTAAAAAAATTTTTTTTTGCATCAAAATATAGTTGTAGTTTATTTCTACTTTTCCATGAACTGTTTTGAGGTCTCTTTTTATGTTTTCTATTTTTTCCTCCTTTTTTTTGCCCAAAGATTTTGCAAAGTTCTGTTATTTGTTCTTTAATAAAGATACTACAATTTTAGAAGCCCTCAAAAGTGTATCAGTCTTAGTAATAAAAATGGCTTTATATCTCTTTTATTCTGAAAAAACTTGGCCTGAATTTCCCCACCATTTTAGTTGGCTAGTCAGAAGTAAACCATATGTAAGTAATAGCTTGCTTTTAGTTTCAGCAGATGATAATTTTGGCAAAATAGTAATTACTTTTGTGTTTTTTAAGTCATTAGTTACTGAGTCATCAAAATTATTTTTAGAATATGAGCGTATAAATTTATCTTTATGAAAGTTTATGAAACAAACTAATTATGACTATATATTGAATAAATATATATTTCTTTTGAAATATTTCAACAGGGTTATATAACCAACTCATCACGAGTTGTATCTAATAATTCTTCAGAACTGCTCTTTGACTTGACCCAAGATACTGGATTATCACATTACCAAGGGGGACCAACACTTTCCATAGCAGGTTGGTTTTAGTCCTTTTCCATAAAAAGAAACTTGATGAATATGCATATCGAATTGACTTTCTGTTTTAAAACTTATTTTGTAGTTTGAAATTTTTCATATAATGTAAGGTGGAATGGTGCTAAGAATTCTTGAATGCCTTTCTTGGGAGGTTGTCTATAAAATCTTATTTAATAATAGACCATTTTATTTTTTTCCTATTGAGTAGACCGACCAACTTTGAGGTTGTTCTTTTTTAGAGCCACCATGGGCTAAAAAGAAATCTTAAAATAATTTCTGTAAGTTAGAGAAATTCAGAAGTACTCTAAATACTTTGACTTTTAAAAAAGTACTAATTTTTATGGCCATGAATGTGAAAAAATATATACTTTTTTTTTTAAGAGATTTTTGTTAAGGGTGCATGTGCTCTCCAGTGAGACAGACAGAAGTGAAAAATCACCCCCTGGGGAGATGGCCATGCTGCAATCCCTTCTCCTCCATTTTCTTCTCTTCTTGGGATTTTGGGCACTCACACACATGTACCCAGCATAAGTTTAAAGCTGCCGGGGCCGAGACTCGAACTGGAGTCAACTACATTGGAGTTCAGCAACATAACCATCATGCCATCTGTTGATCCCTATACATTTTTTTTTCTCAGTTTGTTTATTTCTGTTGTGAAGGAGAGCAAGAGGAGGATAGGTACCCCTGACAGGATCTTGCCACACAACAGCCCTTTCCCCAGCCTTTCAGCCGACCAGGATGCCAGTGGTGCCTGCCTGCTTCACATGTTTAGGTTGATCTGGGATCCAAACCCAGGACTTTCTCATGTGCTGTCTGCCATTCCACCATGATGCCCTACTGCCTGTGCCACAGCAGCTAGACTTGTTTTTTCCATTTTTATAGTACATGGTTTGATATTCATTTCTCTAGGTATCGCTTACATACTTAGTAAAAATGTACTTACTGGGGCCAGCAGATGGTGTGGAGATTAAGGCACTGATTCCCACATGACTAACTCTGCATTTCAAGTCCTGGACTTGAAATGGCTTGAAAAAAAGTCAGGCGGAGACCAGCAGTTAGAGTAATGGCTATGTCGCTGGACTTTCATGTAGTCGACCGCGGTTCGAGTCCTGGACCTGGTGGCTTAAACTCATGCCAGGTGCATGTGCGTGCATGCTCAAGATCCCAAGAGGAGAATGGAGGAGAAGGGATTGCGGCGTGGCCATCCCCCCTGGGGGGTGATTTTTCGCTTTCTTTCTCTGCCTCTCTCTGTCTTTTTGGCTTATATACATGCCCTATAGCAAAACAAAACAAAACAAAACAAAATAAAAAACGTCAGGTGCATGTGCATATGTACCCGAAATCCCAAGAGGAGAATGAAGGAGAAGGGATTTCAGGGTGGCCATTCCCCCTAGGGAGTGAATTCTAACTTTTCTTCTCTCTCTCTCTGTCTTTGATGATTGCACATATCTTATGCCGTAAGTAAGTATGTGCTTAGTGAAGTAGGTAAGAACCAAAAGAAGTGGGGAGGAAAAAAATCATTGTCTTAAGTCTGTTTTTACACAGTACATGGATTTTATTTATAGAAAAGGTTTGGATTCTTGAATCTTCTTGGGTAAAGGCAAACAGCGATTCCTGTTTCTTCCTTTATGTTTTCTACTGCAGAAAGAAGGACTTTAGCTTGAGCAATAAGCAAGATGATTTGGAAAATGTAGGTCTGAATTTCTGTTCTTAAGGTTTTTGTAGTATTAATGAAGTCACGTAACTTCCTTAGACTTGATTTTTTTTTTCATGTTGTTAAAATGGGCATTTTAATTTTTCTTCTGTTATGCATTTATTCTCAATATCTGAAACCAGCCATTTGGAGATAATAATTCTAATTCTTCTCTACTTTACTCAGGACTTCTTTGATGCCCAAATAAGTTAAGTGTAAAAATGTAGTGCCAGCAGGTGGTGTGGTGGTTAAGGGTGCTGGACTCCCATATGTCTGACCGTGGTTTTAGTCCTGGACCTGGTGTCTTGCTTTCTCACTTTCCCACTCTCTCTTGCTCTGTTCCTCTCTGGTCAAATTTTAAAAATAAATAAATATAGTTAAATAAAATAATTCTTTAGAAAAGGTGAAAATGCAGTTAAACTTTAAAAGTCTTAACAACAAATAGTTGTGTTGAATAATAACATGTGCCATATGTTGAATAGCATGATTAAATGATTAATGATCTACTGTCTAGGAAGATTATGGGGGTTTGGAGAAGATTGGATTTGAGTTTGATCTTGAATGAGTAGGGTTTTTACTGGCAAAGATAGAACTGTTGAGGGTATGGAGTAGCGTAAATGAAACACCACATAGATAAGTTGAAGAGTCAGAATTTGAAACAAACCAGAATGATTTTATTTAACCTTGAGTTTTTTTGTTAAAAAGTTCTTCTATTCAGATAGTATATTTCTACCATCTGGCCAACCATATAATCAGTTGCTCAGTTCAAAATACCTGCATTCATTGGTTTTTCAAGTAACCTAAACATCTCACAAGAACGTTAATATGATTACACAGAATCTTTCCCATGTACCTGCAGTGTATCTATCAGTAATCAAGTGCTTTGAAGATGCGGGAAACAGTAATTTTTATGTTAACCTCAAAGGATGAAAAGAGGAGTCAAGTAATTTAATTCTCTTATATTCATGGCTTGTTTGCCTTTATTTATTTATTTATTTTGTTTGTTTGTTTTGAGAGTTTTTTGCTATAGAGTGCATGTGCTCACCAGAAAGAGACAGATAGATAGAAAGTGAGAAATCAACCCCCCCTCCCCTGGGGGGGGATGGCCATACTGCAATCCCTTCTCCTCTGTTCTCCTCTCGGGATCTTGGGCACGCACAAATGCACATGCGTCTGGTGTGAGTTAAAGCCACTGAGCCCAGGATTCGAACCGCGGTCAACTACGTTGGAGTCCAGCGACATAGCCATTATGCTAACTGCTGGGGGCCCACGTGTGGCATGGTGGTTAAGGGCACTGGACTCCTACATGGCCCAGCTTGAGTTTTAAACCGATGAGTCCCAGACTCAAACCATGGTTGACTTCATGGGAGTTCAGTGATGTCACCTTTATGCCATCTCTGGTCCCATAATTAAGTACTTTCTGTGTATCAAATATTTTTTGACTCTTTAAAACAGCTTGTAATATAAGGCATTATATTACATTTTACAAAAGAAGAAATTTAAGGTTCGGATAAATTGATTAAGTAAACTAAGAATATCTAGCAAGACAGCTTCAGAGCCTAGATTTGAACTTACTTTCTCTGACTTAAAAGTCTAGGCTGTTTGTTATGTATTTACTTTACTGTTTCTACTTTTAGTGTATAGTCGGCTGTATTAAAATATGACATACAGTTTTAGAATCCTTTTTACAAACCACAGTTGCATTTTATTTTCAAAAAATATTTTGCCTGGCCTAGTTGAAACCTAAATATCGCCATTTCTCTTCCTGATGCTGTAAATAAGACTAAAATCCCTTAGCCTTAACATAAGGGTTGTCAAATTGAAAAGTATTTTTAGGAATGAAATCCCTAACAAAGAAAATTTAAAATGGAGAATTCTCGAGTTTCCCTGTCAAACATGCTTAAGTGTATTCCCTAAAAAACGAGACCACTAAGCCCTGGATAATACAGTGAAAATCATTATAGTAACTCCTTCCATTATGTGCCCTTTCTTAATTAATGTGTATTGTTATTCAAGATTGTTTCCACTTTTTTGTATAGCAATAAATGGGTGCTATCACCTACAGACCACTTCTCCACTTATAAGACATTTTAAATTGTTAAGTTAAAAAAGCATCTTAAAGGTTACTCTTAATATTTTTTTCTTTTTTTTTTTTTTTTTAAGAGAGATTTTTGCTATAGGGCAAGGGTACTTGCTAAAGAGACAGAGAGACAGAAAGCAAGATATCAGTTCCGGGAGGGTGGGGAGGATGGCCACGCCTCAATCCCTTCTTCATTCTCCTCTCAGGATCTTAGGCACGCACTCACTTGCATCTGGCATGAGCTTTAAGCTGTTGGATACGGGATTTGATCTGCAGTCGACTACATGGGAGTTCAGAGACATAATCATTACGCCATCTGCTGGCCCCCACTCTAAATTTTTTAAACAAAATGATTGTTTCAGTTTTTACAAACTTAATGCACTCAGTGCATTTAAGCTAAATCTAAAGATAATTGAGGGCTGGCTTCTTTCATGCTAGCTGCTTATATATTTCTTTATTTGAAGGCATATTTGGAATTTTCCTTCAAAGAAAATTACTTTATGAATTATTTGAATATATGTAGTCCATAATACATACTTATGAAATTTCTTGACAACTCCGAATTTAGATCAAGTCAGTTTTTATTAGTTAATGTTATTTTAATTCAGATTCAGAGTACTTTTACTCAGTTGTGAGCAATATTCTAAAGTGTTTAAAAATATTTTCTCCACCATTTAAACCACTGTAGGTATGAAAGACAGTTTATTTTTATCAAAACGTCCTTCTACTTCTGAAGTAAACAGTGTTAATCCAAAAAAGCCTAAACCCAGCGAATGTGTTTCTGGAACAAATTCCTCAGCTGTATTCCCTGCAGTTAAATCTCCTTCAGTGACATCTCCCCAGTCTGTGCCATCAAAAGGTAAATATGAAATTTGGCATATAAAAAAGAAACCATAGTATTTATACATAAATTTTAGAGACTGTTAAAAGTTTAAAAGTTGTTAGAATGGTTATCTAAGATAAAAAGTGATGAATTTTGAATCTATAGATGTTCTGAATTTATTTTAGGTACAAATACCTCATCAAATCAATCTAAAAATGGAACACCTTTTCCAAGAGCTTGTCCAAAGTGCAATATTCATTTCAATCTTTTGGATCCTTTGAAAAATCACATGAAGGTAACACTCTTTTAAAATTTAATTTTTGAAGAGTTTACAGACACCTATGAACATTAAAGATTGATCTCTAATGCTAAATAATGGTTTGTTCAGATATTAAGATCAGAAATCTATCGCTGTTTCCACATAACTTGTGTGTAAAAATTCACATTTATAGTGATTATATATATGATTTAGAAATTCCTTCTGAATTGTTAAATTTAATATATTAAGTTTATATACATTATATTGTATCCTTATTATTTTACAATTTTAAACAAAAATAATGTGTTAGTAGATTACACTGCTCTTCAAACTTTTTCTAAAATAAGCTTTTTTTCTGTTATGTGTTTAATCTTTCATATAACTTAAAAATTCTGTTACTTTATTTTCATGTCCATCTTAATATTTGCATGTCATATACACATACAGTACACATGAAAATTTGAATTTTTCATTTCCATTTTCAACGCTGAGATATAAACTCTAACTGGTGGAGCATTTCATATAAAATAATTGTTTTAATTCAGTTCAGAATATAGTTTATGTAATTGTTATAAATTTTAACTTTGTTTTGCTGCAGGAAACTCTTAAATTTTGGTGTAAAGAAATTTTCACAGTATTAATGAAGTAAAAGATTTAGGCAACATATTATTTTAGTAATAAATATTACCATATCTTACCGTGTCTGTTAAGATGTCTGTATTATCCTCAGTTTAAGTGGCAGGAAGGGAGAAGGAGACAATAATAGCAGTACAGATTTATATTAAGAAAAATGGAAAGACGAAGGTATATGGCAAAGAGATCATTTAGGAATCGTTTTTTCTTGCTATCTCAGAACCAAGCGATTTTTATGGACATTTAGAATTTTAGTTAAAAAGCAGGAAAAATATGGGGTCTGTTTAAAATTTTAGGTATAGTCTTTTTTTTTTTTTTTGGAGAGGTTTTTGCTATAGGGCGCATGTGCTCGCCAGACAGGCAGAGAGAGACAGAGAGACAGAAAGCAAGAAATCACCCCCCGGGGGGATGGCCACACCACAATCCCTTCTCCTCCGTTCTCCTCTCGGGATCTTGGGAACGCATGCACACGCGCCCAGCGTGAGTTTTAAGCCACCAGGTCCGGGATGCGAATCGCGGTCGACTATGTGGGAGTCCAGCGACATAGCCATTACGCTAACTGCTGGTCCCGAGTATAGTCTCGTCATTCATATACAAACTTGCATTTGGCCTGTCATTGCTTCCAGCTCTTAGCGTGTACACTGGTAACAACACTGTGCACTTTGGTTTTATATGAGTTATCCTATACAGATGATTTCAATTTTTCTGTTCTATGTAATATTTAATGAGATACCTGATATTTTTCATTTAGATGGAGAAAACTTAAAAGGACTGTGTCCTCTAGTTATCTTTATTTCATATTTTGAATAGGTAGTACAGTCAGTCATATGAACCAAAATGAAAAAGTTTGCAGAGGTATACAAGTGAAGCCCTAATTCTTATTTACTTGGTTTCCAGTTGACTGTCAAAGGAACAATTTTTTTATTAGTTTGTTTTGTGTTCTTCCTGACTTTTTGCATATATAGGTAAACATATTTCCCCCTCTATTTTGTACACAAATTATAGCATATTATATATACTTCTGCACCTGGAGAGACTGGCAACTATTTTCCAAACTGTGGCTTTTTTTTTTTTTTTTAGAGTTTTTTTTTTTTTTTTTTTTTTTTTTGCTGTAGGGCGCGTGTGCTTGCCAGACAGACAGAGACAGAGAGATAGAAAATGAGAAATCACCCCCCAGGGAGGATGGCCATGCTGCAATCCCTTCTCCTCCATTCTCCTCTCGGGATCTTGGGCACGCATGCACACACGCCCGGTGTGAGTTTTAAACCACCGGGTCCGGGATGCGAACCGCGGTCGACTACGTGGGAGTCCAGCGACATAGCCATTACGCTAACTGCTGGACCCCAAACTGTGGCTTTTATGAGTTCGTATTGTTTATGATTCCTTGAATAGAAAACAACTAAAATTTTTCAAGAATATTCATGTACTAGAATACAGCAGTATTTTAAAAAGGAAGATATCTCTATAATAGGTAAGGATATGGGATGATCTGTAAGACATCCTGTTGGATTAAGTCAAAATCGGATGAGTGATATTTGTGTTTATAAAGAAACCTGAAACAACAGTCACCAGTTCTGGGAAGAGAAAGTTTGAGACTATGTGGACTCTTTTTGTTTTTTTAAATATGAGTTCAAGTTTTAATATTATAATAATTTCCATTTTGAAAATGTGATTTTTAGGTTATTTGTGAATTTTTTATTTTTGCTGTTACAATATTAATAGATGGAAGGTAACTATACCACAGAAATAAAATTTCTTCCGATGGAAAAATATTTAAAATACCAGTCAAACATTCTATAATAAGAAAAACAATTTATCTGAGACCATGTGTCAGATATAGGACTAAGCTTTAAATATATTATTTCACTTAATTCTTAGAAAATTCTTTAAGATAGACATTTTTCTTGTTGTATAACCTGTTAATGGGCATAGTTGGCATTTGAACCTCAGTCTCTTTAATGGCAAAGTCGAAGTTTTCACACATACTTTCCTTTCTCCTTTTTCTCTGCTAGTGTTTTTAGTTAGTATTGTCTATTTAAGTTTATTGTTAAAATACTTATAACTGCGTTACTTTATTTACTCTAAATGATTCTTTGATGCACTGCTAGCATATGGGAGGCGATCTGTGAACCTTTCTAACCAGTCATTGTCTGTTTACTCCTTCCCAGTTTTAATTTTTATTTCTCCCTTATTTTTTTAAATTTTACTTATTATTATTATTATTTTAAATTTGCTGTAGGGCACATGTACTCACCAGAGAGAGACAGACAGAAAAAGAGAGGGAAAGTGAGAAAGCAAGCTGCCAGGTCTGGGACTCAAACTGCGGTCGGCCATGTGGGAGTCCGGTGCTTTTAACCATCATGCCATCTGCTGGCTTATTTTTAAAAGTTTATTTATTCTATGAATGAGAGAGACAAAGAGACAGAAACAGAGAAAACCCCCCCGAAAGGGTCCCCAGGCCATGATCCACCCTTGGCCTCAGCCAGCCTTTTATCAGGCATACATGTGTGCCTAGTGTTCTTCCTATTTATTTATTTTTCTTATTGCCAAAGAGTGTATGCACTCTTCAGCGAGAGAGAAAAAGCACTCCCATTGCGGCATGCTTAAGTCACAATCCGTTTCCATTTCTCTTTTTCATTAGGCTTGGGCATACACGCACTTGTGTTTGGTGTGTTTTAAGTCACTGGGCTGGGATTCAAACCTCAGTCAGCCATGTGAATCCAGTTTCCCATGAACTGCGCTTAACCCCTGCATTTCAGGACCTACTCTCTCAGTTTCTATTTATTGCTATATGATTTTTTCCATTGTCAAGAAATATGACATTACATTTTTTTTAACGTTATCTCCATATTTGCTTTAATCTTTTCCACAGTAAATATTCTTAGTGTTCACTAACAGTTTTTTTCTCATAACTTCCTTTGTTTTCTGTTATTTGGCTGAAGTTCATCCTCTAGTAATTTCCTCAGAAAAGGTTTCAAAACATAATTTTGTGAGTTCTTAAATGTTTATGTAGCTTGACCGTAGTTGTTTGTTTTAAAAGAGATTTTTGTTATAGGGCACCCACTAGAGAGACAAACAGACAAAAGCAGAAAGCAAGAAATCACCCCCTAGGGGGGATGGCCACACTGCAGTTTCTTCTCCTTCATTCTCCTCTTGGGATCTTGGGCACACACACATACACACACACACATCTGGCTTGAGTTTTAAGTCACTGGGTCTAGGACTCGAACCGGAGTCAACCATTACACCATCTGGTGGTCCCTATAGTTTCTTTTTCTTTCTTTTTTTTTTTTAGAATTATTTATTTTACTTTATTTATTCATTTGTTCATTTTAATTTAACCAAAGAGAGACACAGAGAGAGAAAAAGTGAGAAAGCAATTCACCAGGTCCAGGACTCAAACCATGGTTGGCCATGTGGGGATGTCTGTGCCTTAACCACCACACCACCTGCTGGTCTTCCCTGTAGTTTATTCTTAAAAGATAGTTTGACGAGATATATAATCAGTTGGATCTCACTTTGAGGATCTTATTGGTGTTACTCCAATTTTTAGTATTTAATGCTGCTGCTGAGAAATCTGGGATAAACCTGAAATTTCTTTCCCTTTAAGAGTGATTTAATCTTTTTTGCCTACTTGTCCACAGGTTCTTTGTTTTGAAGACAGATAATTATATAATGACATAACTTGATAGTTTTGTCAGTCTTCTCTGGCATATGACATGTTCTTTCAACATGTATATTTATGTATCCCTTTATTTTAGTACAGTGTTTCGGAATTATATTTTAAAACATTTATTTTATGCAGTTACATCTCCCATGTGAATTTGTTTGATCTCCTTTGTCTGACATCTATCAATTTCTTTCTAATCTTTTTTTAAGGTGTGTGTGTGTGTGTGTGTGTACATGCGTGCGAGCACATGCACAGCAAGAAGGGGAGAGAGATAGACAGACTGACCCTTGACAGGGTCTCATCACACCATTGTCCCCTTTTTTCAGCCTTCCAGCTTTTCAGGATCTTGGGCATATACACTTTGTTGCCTAGTATGTTTCAGGTTGATGAGGCAGGGAATTTGAACCCACGGTTGGTCCTGTGGCCTCCATTAGTGCAGTTCACTATGCTGCAGATAGTGCCACCAAGGCAGGGCATCTGATCTTTTTAACTCATTAGTGTCGTTAAGTTTTACTTCCTTTTCTCATTAACCTCTGTGTTCTTTATTTTATTTTGCAATGTCTATTCACCATACTCCTTTTCAATATGACTTTATCTGTTCAATCTTATTTTTTCCTTTACTTTTCCCCTTGATTCTGCCCTTCTTTTTTATGTCTTCTTATCATGCCATCTCTACTTTGTGGTTTTCCAAATGGACAGTTGCTTCATTAGGATTTAAAGTTTGTGTCAAAACGTTTGCCATCTGTATCTGCTCCATCGCAATATACTTCTGGTATTTTTCATTAGAATTTTACATTTTCTTTTTATTTGCCCTCTTTTAAAATATTTTTTCTTTTTCTTTTAGATGTGAGTTGCTATCATGTTGTACAAGTTGGATTTTCTTGGGTCAGCTGTTTTGTTCAAAGTTCTTTTGGGGAGTAAGCACAGGTTGCCAGAATGGTCTCACAGCCAGTTAGCTGGTTTGTATAGCTCTTTGCTGGGCAGAACACTTCCTGGAATTGTAACCTGTGTGTCTGATTCCTTACGTAGCATTGCCTTTTTTTCTTTTCTGTACCTAAGTAGGTCTTGAGTACTTCTGCAACCATTCTTCTTGCTTAGCCTCTGCACCTGTTTTTACAAATAAAGGATATAGCTTTTTACCTCATGCTAAGTATCTCAGTTTTAGAATGTGTATTTTTACTAACACTTTCTATAATCCTTTACTGTTGGGTGCTCTTGAGTTCTTTGATGTACTTCCATGCCTTCTACCTGATCTTGGCTATTTTGGGTAGTGTGCTTTTATATATTGAGGAATCTCCAGATTTTATCTGACTCTTAGTTTCAGTGAAAATTGAATTTGTGGAATTTGGTCGTAATGAATTTTGGATGAGTTCCTACAGGAAAAGGGGAGAATTTCGACTTATATAAGATGTTCATATGAAAAGTTCTAGTTTGCTATTTTAAAATAATATCCTACTTCTTTTGTGCTGAAATTTTTAGGGCACTAACAAAACAGCAAGACCAAAATGGTCTATGTACTGGGAGGAGTGAAGATAAGAACGATGTATCATTAAGTGTATTTAATATTTGTAGAATGGCTAATTCAGGAAAATAAAGTATAAATGTGGAGTTGCAGTTAAAGAAATAGAACCAAAAAGATACAAGGGATAAATAAAAGATAACAATTGATCTTGCACCATCCCCCAACCATTCCTTCTATCCTCCTCTAAAATCTTAAGTCCAAACTTAATTCTCATTTATTACTTTTTTTGGTATTTACTATAGGGTAAATACTTACTTTTTTTGGTATTTTCTTTCTTACTTTTTTTGGTATTTTCTATAGGGTACTTTGCTTTCCTCCCAATTACAACGTCCCCTACCTGCCCTGTACACTACTCCTTGGTTATCAATGGTTTATCATTCAGCTCTTTTATAGGGATCTGAAACATTTTCAAAGGTATTGTGAACAAGATTTATGTATTTTCAAAATATGATCCTATCTTTTCTGTTAAAAAAAAGTAGGGGAAAAAAGTAGAAAAGCAATAAATAATTGAACATTTATAATGTGTGCCATAATTTATGGTGTGTTAGAGTAATGTTTAGCTTTCATGGATGTACCATATTAGACATTCTTGGAAAATATAAACCATGTAGCGCACCCTATCATAGATTATATATTGGATTGTCAGAAAAGTCATGACATATTTTTCAATTTTTTCTATGCAAAAATGCATTCTGATTTTTCTGACAACCTAATATTAATAGATTATTTTGTAGATTACAGAAAAGACTCAAGTAGCAAATATGACTCAGAATAACTTCTACTGAAAGCTAGTTTTAATATTTAAGATATCAGATTATGCATATTTCTAATTAGGGAGACTTTGCTATATTAGTTAAGTTTTGTGTTTTATGATTTTTCCCCATTAGTATTTGTGATCTTCCCTACAGGAAGGGTGCACATAAGAGTAAGAGTTTTGTCTATCAAAGTGATGTCACTGGGGGACCAGCAGTAGGCATAATGGCTATGTCACTGGGCTCCCATGTAGTCGACTGCGGTTCAAGTCCCAGACCCAATGGCTTAAACTCATGGCAGGCGCATGTGTCCAAGACCCCAAGAGGAGAATGGAGGAGAAGGGATTGCAGCGTGGCCATCCCCACTGGGGGATGACTTCTCGCTTTCTGTCTCTCTGTCTCTCTTGCTAGTGAGTACACGCGCCCTATAGCAAAAACCTCTCCAAAAAAAAAAAAAAAAGATGCCACTGACACAACATCCTTAGTAGTATGATGTTAATTTTGAATAAGTTTTGTAATAATGTCTATCGGTTTGCTTTATCTCCTTATTAAAAGGAGAAAAGAAAAACAAAACAAAAAAGGCATTTGTTAGAAGGAAGTTGGCCTTGTAAAAGTCCTTAAAGTAGTTTGACTTTTCTAAGTTTGAGCACTTAAATATAATATGTGTCACAAAAAGAATCTAGAAACACATAGCAAAGCTTTTAATTTCTCTCTATTTGTTATGGTTTTATTTCAACTATAATTTTTTCTAGGTGGAAGACTATGGAAGATTATGTTATATTAGACTACTAACATATTTATCCGCATTTTCTCTTTGGTTCTACCTTAACTCCAAAACACAAGTTAGTTATGTCCATTTTGTGTGGGTCCATTTCACTCAGTATTTTTTTTTCCTTTTCTTTAGATATGTTAAATTTGTGTGTGTGTATGTGTGTGTGTTCCTTTGTAGATTTAAAAATTAACAAGTAAAATAAGTATAATCCATCTTTGAAGGAAATGTTATAGTTTGGTTTTGGATCAGAGCTTCCCATGTAATGGAGAATAGATTTCACCAGTGATCTAATATTTTTACATCTGTCAGGAGAGGAAGTGGATGTTGTTAAATTAGAAATAGAAAAGAGAGGGGCCAGCAAGTGGCGTGGTGGTTATAGGCACTGGATTCCTACATAGCTGACCGTAGTTTGAGTCCTGAATCTGGCAGCTTCCTTTCTTGCTTTCTCTCTCTCTCTCTCTCTCTCTCTCTTTCTCTGCTCAAACTAAAAAATAATAATAACAAATGAAAATAAATATATCGGTTTTTAAAATTAAAAAAAAGAAATAGAAAAGCTGCTTAGAATTTTAAACTTATATTGCTACTAATTTAACAAAGAACATTTGAGAAGCATTTGAATTAAAGAAAGAATTACTTGAGTGACTTATTTTAAAAAAAATAGTTTTCTGGGTACAATCTCTAGGCATTGTGGTTTTGTTGGTCTGAAGTGGGGCTTAGGAATTAGTCTTTTTAACGAGCTCTTTGTTTTCTGATGCAGGTTTTCCTCTGATTGCCCTGTGAAAAAAACTGTCCTAGAGAAATCCTACAATTGAAAATTGTGTGCAATAAATAGCTACATTTTTGGGGAAAAATACAATCTCATATATGAAAGTATTTGTTAATAAAACAATTAATGTGACATCTTAATTTTACTATGGAGGATGTAAACTTTCCCTTCAAATATTTAACTATTTTAGATTTTAAGATGTAGTTGTTGATGTTTTCAAGATGTAACTGATGCTTCTTTCTTTGTGTTTCATGCATTTTTTAGTCCTGAGTCTGGAAATAAATGGCAGGTTAGCTGTGCTCAAAGTCCAGTTCCTACCAGGATTTATGAAATTTTGCTGATCACTTGATAATTAAACATATATATCGAGACATATCTATTAACATTTCCTTTCTGTACTCTATTTTTACATGAATATGAAATAAATAATTTCTGATTAAGGAACACATTTTTAAATATTTACATCTGTAAAGGCAGATTGTAAAGGAAAAGCTGTTAGAACTATAACCAAGTATTGGTTTTAAGGTTTTTCATTTCCTATTGAAATTCTTTTTGTTATTTACTAAGACAATAGGTGTTCCAGTTTTTTTTAGAATATGTATTTGTACCACAAAATTTTTGAAGTTATTTTTTTCAATTGTATTACCAAGCATAGTTCTTACGGTCTGGCCTTAGTTGTAAACACATAATCATTTTATGGATATCTATTATTTTGAAGAATAAATAAGGCCTCTTTTTTTCTTTTTTATCTCTTTCAGTATTGTTGTCCAGACATGATAAATGACTTTTCAGAACTGCCTAAAACAGAATTTTCAAGTACAGCAAATAAAAATAAGAATATTGATTCAGAGAAAGGAAAATTGATCATGTTAGTTAATGACTTTTATTATGGAAAACATGAAGGAGATGTCCAGGAAGAACAGAAGACTCACACAACCTTTAAATGCTTCAGTTGCTTGAAAATTCTAAAAAATAATATTAGGTATGTAAAGACTTATTGTTATTTCCATTTGGCACTTGAAATGCTGTATCTTTATATTGCATTTTTCTGCACAATTCTAGGTCAGCAATTTTAACTTTAAAAACAAAGGCACATTCTCTTATTGAAAAGCTTTTGTTTTGTTTTTGTATTTTAGAGTTTGAGTCTTGGATCCACTTAGTTATATTTCTTTCACGTAGCTTAAGAAAAGACAGTGTATTTGAACTGCAGGCAAAATGAGCTTCTTTTCTCTATTTTAGCAGTGATCTAGGAATTTATATTAGTTATTTTTCATTTTGTACCTGCCTTTATATTTTGTTTTTTTTCCTTTATTACAAGAACAACAACTTTTGTCCCATTTTAACCTCCTGCACACTTATGCTATTTAATGCTCAACTCTTTCAATTCATACTTAAAATTTTTTAGAACATTTACCTTATAGAAAAGTAATGTGTTTTAGAAATGTACCAGTTCTAGGAAATATATCATCCATTTTATTTGAATTTAAAATTTAACATATTTGACAATCAGATATTTAATTCCCAGTAGAAATTAAGAGATTATTTACACAAATGCTTTAAATTTTGTACTGATTAAGTTAGTACAAAGGACAAAGTAACAAGACACATTGAATGATACTTTTCATTGGTTACATAGCCTGACATTTACATGAGGTAAGGGGTTATTTTTACCCTGTTTTATTATAAAAATTTGCAAGTATTCAGTGAAATTCTGAAACTTTTACACTGGGCATGTGTATATTTACCATATTGATTCTACCAATAACATTTTACTATGCTTCCATTATCATGCATCTGTTTACTCTTGCTTCTAACGTGATTTATTTTTAGTGTATTTCAAAGTAAATGGTAGACATCAGGGTACTTCCCTTAGATGAGATATTTTATTTGTGTTTGTATAAACATACACATATATGTATGCCTTTTTTTTTTTTTTTCTTTTTTCCCTGTATTCGGACAGTGTCTTTCTGTGTTATACTGTTCCTGCCTCAGCCTCGCAAGCATCTGGTTCTGCAGGAGTGAGCCACCTTTCCCAGCTCTTTCAGATAGAGTCTTTCTGGGTTTTTCAGGCTGGCTATCAACTCACGGTCCTTTAGATCTTCCTGCTTCTGCCTCTTGAGTAGCTAGGACTGTAGGCACATGCTACTGTGCCTGGCTGTTTGTGGTCAGCTGGGGTTGAACCCAGGCCTCCCATATAGCCTTAGCCTGCTCGAGTAGCAGCATCTGCTGACATGAAATACTGCAGGTAGGCTCGCAATTGACATTTTTAAGTATCTGTAGTTATGTCTAGGCCCAGCATTTATTTATTCTTTGATTTCTGGGTCCAAAAGAATCATATGGAAAAATTCTCAGATATATCATTACATAACTCCTATAACAATTAATAATGGTTTCTTTAAGGTAGTGCTTTATAAACTTATTTTATTGTCTTATATGAGTTTTCATATTTCGTTGCTCCATTTTTTAAGCTTTAACAGTTATCAATAGCTAATGGTCCTCAGTTTAGCAGAAGGGAAATTTGCTTAGAAATAAAATATTGAAAGTGTTATAATAGGGACCAGCAGATGGTGTAATGGGTATGTTGCTGGACTCTCACATGGGTGACCGTGGTTTGAGTCCTGGACCTGGTGGCTTGAAACTTAAACCAGGTGTGTGTGCATGGGTGCCCAAAATTCCAAGAGGAGAATGAAGGAGAAGAGACTGTGGTGTGGCCATCCCGAGAGGTGATTTTTCACTTTCTGTCTCTGTCTCTATCTCTGGCAAGCGTACACACCCTATAGCAAAAATTCCCCTAAAAAAAAAGTGTTATAATAGAACTCTATCACCTATTTCCATATTCTTACTATTTTAATAATAATTGTAATCATGTTAGTAAATATGGCAATATCCATAGAAATGCCCTTCACTGATCTAGTTGCTTGTTAGACTTAAGTATTATACATTTGGTACTAGAAGTTACTACGCAATAGTCTTTTTGACTTTTCCTTTAAGATTAGCCTATTTAATAACAAACACAAAGGTGAAAAATTTATTTGATATTTTTTCAGAAGATGGTTTACATATGTCTAGATTATTAGAATATTTAGATATTTTAAACAAACTGCATTTAATAACATCCAGGAATTGAGCATTTAAAAATGTTTGCTTATTTAATAAATGTACCCTTGATGCTAAATATCTTATGACAATAAAAGTTGCATATATAGTATTTTACATTAACAGTAAAAATGGGGAGGCCAATTGATGTTTATAGAGAATGGTAAGAAACTGATAGCCCAAGACATCTATCCTCTGCTCTGTCTACATACTGTGATATAGTATTTTTTTCCTTACATTGAGTATCACTAAATATAATTGGGTTTATTTTGTTCTGTTCACAACATTGCAACAAGTTTGCTTTTTTTGGTTTGTTTTTCCCATTTGAATCTATTGGTTCATTGAGAAGTATGAGCTCTTGATGGGAGCTTATTTGATAAATGAGAGAAAGCTAGCTGGTTAAGGGATTATTTTGTTGATATACTTTACAATTGTGAACTGAAAGTTTAATGGCCCATGACCTCATTTCTGTGTGTAAATATTTAACTAAGAGGATTTTTTTTACAGGTGTTTATAGAGCTGTTGTTAAAATCAAAGGAGAAAAATATATTTCAAGATGTGCCATAACCCACTGTAAAGAAAAGTGATGTTGTAGAGGTGTGACAAAGAGATATATGTTATAACTTTCATGAGGATTGCTATCCAGGGTGATGACATTATCACTTGGTTCCAAAATTCTTCTCTTTAGGGACTCAACGTGAATAATTGTTAATAGTTGGCCCAGTCTAAAAATTGTTGTTTTGATTGAATAACTTTACTTTTAAATTCAGCAAAAAGCTTCAGTAAGCTTTTTAAAATAGGTATGCCCATTTATATTGTGCTATGTGTTGTTGAAGGTCATAGTTCCTGCTCACAAGAAGCTTTTTAGGGGAGCTGAACTAGCAGAATGTAAAACTGAAAAATGGACGTTGCCTACAAAGGGCATAGTTTGAAAGTTAAAATGAACAGTCTTGCTAACAGCAAACCAGTATCATTAAATAAAACAAAAGATTCCTGTAATTGTAGGCATTAAAATTGCTATTACATGCATTTAGAAACTAAGACATATATAAAAATACTAGTAATTTGTCTTTTAAACAGCTGGAATCTATTGTATATCTTCAAGCCTTAAAAGACTTCTCTCATGAGTCTGTAGCTGCTTTGAGCAGTAGAGTTTCCTTCCTTTTAGTGTTTTACTTTTACACATAAATAGTATTTCATGTATGGAAAATGAGACTTATTTTATCTAAAACATTGTTTTTAACAATCTGAAATTGTGATTAAGACTTAGATCAAATCAGTGATATCTCAAATGAATTATATTAATGAATTTTTTCAAAACAAAGATAAAAGACATTTACTTAGCTACTGAAAGTGTTTAAAATACACACATTTCCAGAAGACTTTCAGGCTTTTGTTTTGAGGAATGCATCTTATATTTTTAAGCTTTCGGTTCAGATGGTTATTTGTGAGATTTTCTTTTAGTTTTTAAATCTGAAGTTTTGCACCTGTTGACAATCATTTATAGGTTTATGAACCACATGAAACACCATTTGGAACTTGAGAAGCAGAGCAGTGAGAGCTGGGAAAACCACACCACCTGCCAACACTGCTACCGGCAGTTTCCCACACCATTTCAGCTGCAGTGTCACATTGAGAGTACACACACCCCGCATGAATTTTCTAGTAAGTTACAGTTTCATTTAAGTATTGAATAGTATTGATTCTGATAATATAAACCATGAGAAAACTGTAAGAAAAATCAGAATAAGGAATTGACTTGGTAATTTGAGGGCAAAATTGAAGAAGTTAATAAACTTTTAACCTTAATAAACTTCTAAATAAAATTAGTTACTAAAATTAAAGTCCTTATAAGTAATTCATTATGGTAACAGCCTTGCCATAATGTGTACATTAAACATAGAGACTAAATTAGAAGTCTCCAATTATAGTTTTCAAATAAGAAATCAAACTTTATTTAAACTTTAATAAACCAAACTTTATTTAAACTTCAATAAGAAAAACAACTGCATTGAGCATGTGAAAAATGGCATGGTGGAATGAAGCAGGTGGCACGAAGCTTATGGTGGCTGGATCCCACATGGCACACTGTGCAGTTATAGTTCTGGACCTGGCAGCTAGAAAAAACACATTGTGTGTGTGTGTGTGTGTGTGTGTGTGTGTTCCCAAAATCCCGAGGGAGATTAGAAAAGAAGGGATTGTGATATGGCCATTCCCCATGGGAGGTGATCTCTCACTTTCCCTTTCACTATTTCTCTTTTTTTCTCCCTGGTAAGCACATGCACCCTACAGCAAACTTAAAAAAAATAATAGAAAAAAAAAAAAGAAAAGAAAAAGAAAGAAAGGAAGGAAGGAAGGGCACTTAAAGTCACAGATTTTGGAACTAGGCAGCTTGAGTTCAAATTCCAGATCTTCCTCTTAAAGCAACAGCATGATTTCAGGCAAGTTACTTAATACTTAAATAATGATGTGTAATAGAAATACCTTTCTTACAGTGCTGTTGGTGCTGTTATAGGAATCAGATGAGTTCATGTAAGTAAAGTGCTTAAAACTGTCCTGGACACACAGTTAACAAACTGTATAACTGTTTGCTATCACTACTACTATTTTTATTGTTACAGATGTATAAAGTGAATGTTTTATATTTATTTCTTTAAATGTTGTAATACCTTTCCTTCCCTACTTTTAGCCATTTGTAAAATCTGTGAGTTATCATTTGAAACAGAACATGTTCTTTTACAACATATGAAGGACAATCATAAACCCGGTGAAATGCCATATATCTGCCAGGTATGCACACATTTTACCATGTTCATAAGTGTTTATTTAGTTTGATTTTTGTTGTTTGTTTACAAGATTTAACCTATTAGATCATGCCTGAGCAAATTTTTTTCCTGTAAAGAGTCAGTAGTAAATATTGTAGGCTTTGAGAAATGTGATCTGTGTTACAATGCATCAACTCTGTCTTCAGTAGCACAAAGGCAGCTGTAGACAATAAGTAAATGAAGTTATATGTTCTAATATGACCTTGTTTATAGATGCTGGAATTTGAATTTCATAAGATTTTTATATACATAAAATACATTAGTCTTTTTAGTCATTTAGATAAAATTCATTACTAAAATTAAAGTTCCTTCTGTAAATAGTGGGAAGTGAACTGTATAACTCATGCATTATGTAAGAGGTAGGCAGTGAGCTGAGTTTGCCCATAGACCATTGTTTGCTTGCATTTGTACTGGACAGAAAGACTCTGCTGCTAGAGAAAGAGAAACACATGTACTTATCTTACTTATCATATGATCTATAGAGAAGAATGAAGGCATACGGGGAAATATAAAATGTTATTTGCTGTAAAGAACCCTACTAGCTGCTTTAGACTATCATTCTTCCAGAATTTGAAGGTTCAGGAAAGCAAAAAGAAAGATAAAGGCCATTTATAATATAATGTAAAGGAGAATGCCATTTTTTGTAGTAGGAAAAAACCTTTTATATGACGATGTCATACAAAATTTAAGTTAAGATAGGGATGATAGATAAAAAGAGGGAGTCTAGTTACGTTTTGGGATGTATCCCTTAACTTCAAAAGATATCTTTTGTATCTCAGAGATTGTCTTTCAGTGCTTATATTGTGAAATTGTTAGTTTTGTAGACCTTATACCTGGTCTATCATTGTTAGGTTGAAATTGTATATCATTGTAAATTTACAAAGTAAACTAAATCTTCTTTCTATTTCCAGGTTTGCAATTACAGATCTTCATCATTTTCTGATGTAGAAACTCATTTTAGAACATCCCATGAAAACACAAAGAACTTGCTCTGTCCATTTTGTCTCAAAGTTATTAAAATTGCAACCCCTTACATGCATCATTATATGAAGCATCAGGTGAGATTTACAAGTTCTTCTTGTTGTCTTTAGTGAGAAGACTGATCATGATTTAGAACATTGACTAGATTTGTTCTATAAGAAAAGCAAAATTGGGGACCAGCAGTTAGCGTAATGACTATGTCACTGGACTCCCATGTAGTCGACCACGGTTCGCGTCCCAGACCCGGTGGCTTAAAGCTCACGCCGGGCATGTGTGCGTGCATGCCCAAGATCCCGAGAGGAGAATGGAGGAAAAGGGATTGTGGTGTGGCCATCCCCCCTGGGGGGTGATTTCTCACTTTCTGTCTCTCTGTCTCTCTCTGTCTGTCTGGCGAGCACACGCACCCTATAGCAAAAAAAAAAAAAAAGAAGAGCAAAATTATTTCAAATAACATGATTAACTTACGATTTATGTTGAATTACTTGTGAAGTTTCCACTTTTCCTTACGAGGATAGTGTAGCTCATAAATCATGAAAATTCTGAAGGGTATCCAGAAGTAGAAAAGCTCCTGATTGAGAGATAAACGGAGAAGCTAAGTGAAATATCCAAAAGATTGGCTGTTTGAAGTTCTAGGAATAGAAATGGGAATGATTTTGAAGTGAGTTATCAGGAGGAGGGAACAAAATTAGTTTGAACTGAAGAAGATTTTGAACTCATAATATTGTTTCGCTCTTTCTCTTAAAACTGCATTTATACCATTTTACCAATATATTGTAGGAATACATGTTATCATCACTGACCCAGAGTGGTCTCTTATACCTGCATGACAAATGAAATGGTAATGACATTTATTGGTTGACACTTGAACTCTGCCAGATAATTATTTACATCATAACTTGTTTCTTTTTTTCTTTTGGAGAGGTTTTCGCTATAGGGCGTGTGCGCTCATCAGACAGAGAGAGACAGAGAGACAGAAAGCGAGAAATCACCCCCCAGGGGGGATGGTCACACCGCAATCCCTTCTCCTCCATTCTGCTCTCGGGATCTTGGGCACGCACGCACATGTGCCCGGCGTGAGTTTTAAGCCACCGGGTCCGGGACGCGAACTGCGGTCGACTACGTGGGAGTCCAGCGACATAGCCATTACGCTAACTGCTGGTTCCCATAACTTGTTTCTTAGATAACTTTGCCAGTTATATTGTATAATTTTGGGGACCCAGTTTAGTGTCTGTACCCTTCCTTGTACTGTGATGCCTATTGATTTTCTTTAAGAATTATTTTATTCAACTTTATTTATTTATACATACATACATACATACATACATAGCAAGAGAGAGAAAGAGAGAGAACAAGAAAGCAAGCTACCATGTCTGGGACTAGAACCGTGATCAGCCATGTGGGAGTCCAGTGCCTTTAACCACCATGCCACCTGCCGGCCCCTTCTATTGATTTTTATCCTGAAGCAATTGAACCATCCTTTGTTCAGGCTAAAAATTTTGATGCAACACTGATCTTATTCTTGAGTGTGTGAAAGAGCAAGAATGGGGGCCGACAGGTGGCATGGTAGTTAAAGAGGTGGACTCCCACATGGCAAACCACAGTTTGATTTCCCATACTTGGTGGTTTGAAACTCATGCCAGGAACATAATATGTGCATGCCCAAAATTCCAATAGGAGAATAAGGAGACAGAATTGCAGTGTGATCATCCCCTTTGGGGAATGATTTCTAACTTTCCTCTCACTTTCTCTCTCTCTCTGGCAAGTGCACACCTCCTATAGGAAAATTAATTAATTAGTTAATTAAAATAAATAAATTTTAAAAAGAAAAAACAAGAATGACTTTGTCAAAATCAGAGGCCAGTGGATTTACTGAATATGATCATATAATCAGGTTTTGCCAACTCACTGAAAAGCCATATATGTTTTCTTATTATCGCTTAAATGGGCACCCTTTTATTCTCCAGGTGCTAACTTTGCTATCAGTTTCAGTCATTGGACAATCATGAAATTGACTTGTAGTTTTCTTGTTTGTTTTGTTTTTTTAGATTTTTGTCATAGGGAGCACGCACTCTCCGGAGAGACACATAGAGGGAAAGTGAGAATTCTTACTCCCCCTCTGTGCCCTCGAGGGATGGCTACATTACAGACACTTCTCCTCTGGGCTTCTCTGAGGATTTCAGGCACACATATTCATGGCCGGCATGATTCTCAAGCCGCCAGGTCTAAGACTTAAACCAATGGATTTGGCATATGGGATCCAGCACCTTAATCACCATGCCACCTGCTGGCCCTGACTCATAGTTTTTAATTGGGAAAGATCACAAAGGTAGGATTTCTAGGTGTTTGGGGGATTATCTGTGTTGTGACTGGGATTCCACTCATCCTTGAGAAGTTGCAGCAAGATTTCTAGTTTAGGATTTTCTGAACAGTGTTCTATCAGTTGTTAATAGGTATTTTTTCCCAAATTGTCATTAGCAAATACATTTGGTAAATGCCTAGATGTACAAAATTAAACACTTTATGTATGGTTTTTAAAATAGTACTAATCAAAGTTTTTATTATGCTAGTGATGTTGTAAATCTACCAGCAAATGATGTAATGCATATTGTTGCTCAAACTTGCTTGACCGCTGAACTCTTTGTTCTTATAATTACCAATTAATATCTTTTGATGAACAGAGTTTAGGAAACACTGTTCTTTTTCTTTTTTTTTTTTTCCAAGATTATTTCTTCCAGGACCAACAGTTGGCATAATGGCTATGTCACTGGACTCCCATGTAGTCGACTGCACCTCAAGTCCAGGACCCGGTGGCTTAAACTCATGCCGGGCGTGTGTGCATGCATACCCAAGATCCCAAGAGGAGAATGGAGGAGAAGGGATTGTAGTGTGGCCATTCCCCCCCGGGAGGGTGACTTCTCACTTTCTATCTCTCTGTCTCTGTCTTTCTGGCGAGCGCACGTGCCCTATAGCAAAATCTTCTTCAAAAATATAAGATTACTTCTTCCTTCCATGAAAGAATAAAGACAGATGGAGTCCAGGTGGGAGTGGCTACTCCCAACAGGGTCTTCACACCAATATCAGTCTCAGCCAGTCTGGATCCTGGGGCACACACATGGCCAGTGTGCAGGCAGACCTCTGGACATGAATCCAGAAGTCTCCCATGGTGTCCATCATAACAGAGCTTTAATGTTACTGCTAATGGCACTGCTGTTGGCCCCTCCTATTCTTAATACTCTGTATTTTATTTTCGGACTTTATTTTGAAAAGGAAAATGATATACAAAGCTATGCCTTCATTATAGGGCTTTTAAGATAATTTTCCCAGATGCTTTACGAATCTCTAGAGTAAAATATAGATGTGGGAAGAACAATGACTATGATAGGGTTGTCTGGGCCTACTATCTGGCTATGTGATTTATAATTTTCTTTCATACCCTGTATTGTATGTTTTAGCTTGCCATGGGTACCCAGTTTCTCTCTCTCTTTCTTTTTTCCCATATGCTCAGCAGAGACAGAGAAAGGGAAGATGTAAAAGCATCCCTGGAAGGGGAAAGCTATGTTGCATTTCCTTCCCTTCCATTCTCTTGGGATTTGGGGTGTGCCTGCATATGTACCCTGTATGTTTTTTCTAAGCTGCAGGTCTGGGACCTGAGGTGTGGTATCGGCCATATGAAATCCAGCCACTTTAACCTTCACACCATTTGCTGGGCCCGGTACCCAGTTTTCTTAAGACTTTATTTGGAGGCTCTAGCAGGGTTGTGCAGCTACACATATACTCCTGACAAAGAATGGATCCTTCTCTTATCAGAGAAGGTCGTGCTCTCTGACCAGTTGTGCTTCGGTAAGAATGCATATGGAGCGTTGAGAGAGGAAGGGGACACCTACCTAACCAACTAGATCAGCGGACTCAGCCCTGGCAGTTGGTGGGTGATAGATGTCACAGCCAGATTACCCTCACACCTTTAATCTTTTCTTCTTTTTTTGTTTGGAGTATCTAGGAGATAGACAGCAGTAAAGTAGATAGTCTAATTAAAAAGGGTCAAAAAAAGGGGAGCATATGATGGTACAGTGGTAAAAGACAATTCTCTGCAAGGAAAACCTACATGGAAACATTCCCAGTTTTTGTCTGGAGATCTGAATGTGCTGGGCACGTGTGTGCCTGTGATCTGTGCTTGCTGTTGCTGGGGGTGGATCAAGACACTGTTGGGGGTGCTCTATCTCTTTCTCTCTTTTTCTCTTATTCATGGAATAAATTTTTTAAAAGAAGATCATCAGTCATCCTTCAAGATATTTATAACTTGTATAATTAAGTAGAAGCTATAACTGAATGAGATTATAAACTTGAAATTGAGATTATATTATTATTGGGATATTAAACAAAAGAAAAATTGTTGACTTTGCCTCATTTTGTCTCAGAAGAGCTCAGTTGCAATTTTTCTATAAAAGATTATATCTTTGAATTTATAGCTAACAACCCAATTCCTGTTACTTTTAAGGAATAATGAAGACAATTTCAGATATATTAAATATGCTCATTATATCTTTAATGAAAGAATAAGCAGTTAACATATACTAAACACATCTGATGGCAGCAGCCAGTCCTTTATATGCATTATCTTGTGAAGATTAAACAAGATAATGCATATATTATTTCTGTTTCATAGATGAGGAAACAGCTTTAGAGAAAGTAACTTGCCTCATGTCAGATTTTCTAATAAAAGAGAAAAGTTTGACTTCAGAGCCAAGCTTTTACTGCTCTATCATATCTGAATTTCACATTAGCATTAGGTCTGTGGTAGAAATTTCATATAGTAAGAATTACCCTTAAACTCCTCATGTCTTCTCTCAAACAATATAATATGCTTATCAAAAAAAAAGGCAATGATTTCTCTATATCCAGAATAGATCATTATTTCTTTAAACATTATGTTACTAAAAATGTATTTTTATCATCCTTAGTTCACTGAAATGTATGCCTAGAAAAGAGGTCTGTAAGACCTGGGGCCAGCTGACAGAAGAGTAGATAACGTAGTCTATTTTATGACATTTTGTAGTTAAATTGTACTTGCTGTTCCTGTGCATTTTCCCTGTTAGTCTCCTGTTCTTTCTGCCTCAGTATTCATTTATTTAATGAATATTTATTGAGCGTCTTACTGTGTGCTTGGGGCTGTTTTAGGTATTACGTAACAGGGACCAAAACAAAATTTACGCCTTCTGGAATTTGCCTTATTGCAGAGGATACTTTGTGTATGTTTGCATGAATATGCTGGTAATAAGTATTATGGGAGGAGAATGTGGAGTATAAGTATTGGGGAAGTACTAAGAGTAGGAGGAGCATTTTGTATACAGTGATCAAAACAGGGCCTCTCTGAAGGAAGTGAAGGAGTTCACCACGTGGATGTCTGGGAGTAGTACATTACATAGACAGTGAAGTGAGTGTATACCTGAGAGGCTCCAAGGATAGCAAGGACAACACTGCTGGAGCTGAGAAGGTAGGGTATAAGATTGTAGTAACAGAATGCAGGCCGATTCTTGTGGCGCCTTGTGAGCTAGAATCAGGACTTCAGAAATTTTAAGCTTGTGAACGATCTGCCATGTTTTAAGATCACTGGCTGCTCTGCAGAGAATAAACCATAGGGAAGAAAAGACATGATAGAAAGAAGAGAAATGATTTTTGCAATACTCCAGGTATGTCTTGGAGCAGTATGGGAGCAGTGGTTGGAGGTAATAAGAAGTGGAAATATTATGAATGTTTTTGAATTCAGAACTGAAAGGATTTATTACTGTTTTAGATGTAGAATGTGAGAAAGAGTGATTGAAGTTTTTGTCCTGGGCAGCTAAGAATGAAATATTAATATTTATATACTGGGATATGGGGAAGACTGAGGAAGGAACACATTTTTGATGGGGAGAGGAGGCAGGAGATCAGGAGAAAATCTCGAGTTCATATTTCTCCATATTGATTTAAGAAGCATATTAGACACTAAGTAGTAATGTCAATTAGGCAGTTGCATATATGGTATTTAAAACCATGAAAGTGGATGAGGTAACCTAGGGAGTAATTACAGACAGAGAAAAGATTCTGGGAACTGAACTCTAATGAGCTTTCTGCCCTGTTGTCTTGGTATCAGTGTTTTGACCAAGTTTTCATTTTCTTTTTTTTTTTTTTTTCCATCTTCTTCCTTGAGCACATGTAAATGAACTTGTTTAAATTGCCTATAAATTATGAGATAATCCAATGTGCCATACATCTAAAATAGTCTTAATGCATCTAGAATTATAACCCTTTACATGGGCATATTGCTTTGAACTTCATAAAGAGCATTTATTTATGAAATACTTGTGTGCCAATAACTATGCCAAGTATGTCCCTGTACATTACTTCATTTGAATTTTTTTTTAGAGGGTTTTGCTATAGGGCGCATGCGCTCGCCAGAAAGAGAGACAGAGAGACAGAATGCGAGAATTACCCCCCCCCCGAGGGGATGGCCACACCGCAATCCCTTCTCCTCCATTCTCCTCTCGGGATCTTGGGCACTCATGCACACATGCCTGGCATGAGTTTTAAGCCACCCGGTCCAGGACGTGAACTGCGGTTGACTATGTGGGAGTCCAGCAACATAGCCATTATGCTAACTGCTGGTCTCTTCATTTGAGTTTTATAAATGATTGGTTGTATTTAAATGGGAATAGTGATGTATTTTGCAGAGATACAGCTTTAGAGAAAACATTCTTTTGTATTTGTGTGTCATTTAAAATGTATATATATGCATACTATATAAACTATATTAAGTATGAGAGTAAATAGGTAAAGATTACAGTTGATGTAGTAGAACACTGGATGAAGAGTCTGACAATGTCAACAGCTAGCCATGGGGAAGTGACTTAGATTTCCTTTAGGTTCCATTTTCCATCTATAGAGTAGTGGCTGGACTGAGTTTGAGAGGGATTTAGTCAAGGGCTTCTCAGCCAATAAGTAGCTGGACTGAGTTTGAGAGGGATTTAGTCAAGGGCTTCTCAGCCAATAAGTAGATTGGGATTGGTTGTTTTGTTTTATGCTTTCCTTTTCACATTGTCGAGTGTAGCTGTCTAAACATGTGACTGTTACTTTATTGGGTTGTTGAGGAAGTCATGATGCATTTTTGCATAGAAGAACAGAAAGATACCTAATGAGTTTCCCGACAACCTAATAATTAAACTAAATAAAATCCAAAAGTCGTTTCCTCAGTTGCATTTGGCCCTTTTCAGGTGCTCAAAAACCTCATGTGTCCAGTGGCTACCATATTGGACAGTATAGCTCTATAACATTTCATTATTGCAGAAAGGTTTTTTTTTTTTTTGGATAGTACTACTTTATACAACCACTTATATAACTTAACTTTCTTTTCAGTGTCTGATTAGATTTATTATTTTTAAAATTTTAAGTTATCAATTTGTCAACTAACTGGAAATAGTAAAAATTAAATGTAATTTACGGGAGCCAAGAGATGGTGTCATGATTAAGGCACTGGACTCCCACATGGTTGACTGTGTTCAAGTCTCCAATCTGGTAGCTTGCTTTCTCACTTTCCCTTTCTCTCTCCCTCCGTGTCTCTCTCTAATCAAATTTAAAATAATAATAATAGTGATAATGATAAATAATTCTTTTGGGGGGGTGGGGGAGAGGTTTTTGTTATAGGGCACGTGCTCTCGCCAGAAAGACAGAGAGACACAGAAAGACAGAAAGTGAGAAATGACCCCTCAGGGGGGATGGCCACACTGCAATTCCTTCTCCTCCATTCTCCTCTTGGGAGTGCACGCACACATGCCAGGCATGAATTTAAGCCGTCGAGTCCGGGACTCGAACCGCAGTCGACTACTTGGGAGTCCAACAACATAACCGTTAAGCCAACTGCTGGTCCCAAAATAACTCTTTTTAAAAAAGTAATTTATGTTTCCTGAGATAAAATGTAATATAGTTCATTTTCACAGTATTACGTGTTTAAACAATTTAGAGAGCTTTCACGCCACAGCTGATTAAACATTCATGTTTGATTCCTAGAAGTAATAAACATTTTTGAAACCTAGATATTAATGTAAAGAACATTTTACAAATAAAATGATATTTTGGAAATATTTTCTTTAGGAAATGGTAAACTACTAGTTTTTCATATTATTTAGATGTTAATAAATGTAAGGGGCTGAATGGTGATGCAATCTTAAAATGCTACATTCTATGAGGCTGACCCATATGGAGAGGTTTTGTGTCTGGAGACCTCCCTGAGTATATTGAGTATGTGCATGTGTCCACGATCTGGGCTAGCTAAGGCTTGTGTGAATAGGGGTGCTAAGTCTGTTTGTCCTTCTCACTCTTGGAAGATATAAATAAATCAAGTTGATAAAAAGGAAAAAAATTAAGTTCGAGCAGTTTTAGGATACAGGATTTGTGGTTATAGAAATTATTTTTCTGTTTTAAAAAACAGAAAAAGGGAATACATCGTTGTTCAAAATGCAGACTGCAGTTTTTGACATGCAAGGAGAAAATGGATCACAAGACTCAGCATCATCGAACATTTATAAAACCTAAACAACTAGAAGGGTTGCCTCCTGGAACAAAAGTGAGTTCAAATATGTTGTATTTTAACATGTTATATAATAATAGCAATTAACTTCTGCCCAGTTTTACCTATTGCATATAATATTTTTGACAATTATTTCTGATTTTTATTGTAACTTTGAACTTTTATCATTCTTAGCTTAGAAGAAAAACTTGTAACCATTGTTTTGAGTTCAGTGGTGGGTGCAGTGTTGGACTAGTATTCTTTTGTAAAAACTGCAATTAGATGAACTATTTTTTGGGTTAGTGGGTTGTTTTAATATTACATAGAGTATTTTTGAGCTATTTCAGTTGGCAACATATATGTTGTTTTAGCTGCTAAACTATAAGATGCTTGAGATCAGGAACCACATACTTCTCTGGTGTCCCCAGCATCTGATATAGTGCCTTGGATGCCATAGGTTCCCATATGTTTGTCAAAGTTGTTATTACTGAGTTTTCTCTCAGAGAAGCAAGTTCTGCTGCTGGATAGCATTGTGTTTTAAGTGAGCAAACACGTCTGACTGCATACTTATGATTGTAATTTACTTTTCCCACTTTGCCTTATATACATCTGTTTTCTCTGACTTCTTTATATACAGTCAGCTCTTGAATATTTGTTCCAGTGGAGGGAAACAGAGGCATGGATAATCCAAAGTGAAATAATCCCCAAAACATTTATATTTGGCTTTGGGTACTTACCTTTGAATGTGGGTATGTCTGTTATTTGAATTAACTAAAACAATATAAAGCCATGCTCTGAAGACCTAGAGCAAGAGACGCTACCCAGCATCCTTCCCTGCAATCCATTCATTTCATGCTGGGACTATACTTGCAGAACACTAATGTAAGCAGAGCAGTCCTCATTTCTTCCCTTATTAATAATAATAATATTAATGATAATGATACTAAATGTTTGTTTAGCACCTCAGAAGTAAGCTTTCAGTGTACTTTTTCATATAGTCTGTTATTTAATTCATGCAACAGATCCACTGAATAGACACAGCTGGTATTGTCCTGTGTTATAGATGTGAAAAGGCTTAGATAGGATAGATACTTATTCAAGGTCACATGGCTAGGGAGGGATAGTATCAGATTTAACCACAAGTCTTTTGATTTCTGGTGTAGTGCTATTGAATGAAACCTAAGCACATATATTTCACAGAACTTCCTCATAGGTTTTTCTTTATGTAGATGAGGAGAGAATAGTCTGGTAATTAACAAGAATGTTGGTAGGCAATTGTGTTTGTTACTATCAACCAATAGACATAATTCTCTTTCTTAATACTAAACCATAATGGCATTAGTTCTCTGTAAGAAAATACCATCGAACACTCCATGTAGTATAATGAATTGATGTTACCCCTCACATAACATTTGTAAGCATAAATTCCTGGGCAATGAAGCCCTGGAAAGAGGTGGTTACATTTACTTTATATCTGTCTGTTATGTAGTTATCAAAGAGTAATGTAGGCCTTTCTAGAGTTATTTTTCAGGCCTTAAGATTTAAATTTTGAGTTCTCCATGAATTTTTTTTTTAGTTGTGTCAGAGCACAAAAATAGATATGATGGAATGTGTTCTATTGATATATGTATATAATTTGCATTAACTCCTAATTATCCATTAACATGTAACTGATATTAGTACAAAAATGTAATGTTACAAGTGAAAAAATTAATTTCATTAAATTGGCTTGAGTATTTAGAATAAATGAAAGAGTTACCCAATTACAGTTCATGTGTGCTCTTTTTCAAAATTCTTGATATATATCTTTTTGTTATAAAGTTACATTTTAATATTAATGTAGTGATTAATTTTTTAAAGCAAATATTTTTTTCATTTTTGTAGGTTACTATTCGAGCTTCAGTTGGACCTCTTCAGTCAGGATCCTCAACTACACCTTCCATTAGTGCAAGCACTTCTACTCTACAACTCTCACCTCCAAGGACTAAAAATATAACTGCTAAAAATCTCATAAAATCTAATACAAATAAACCTAACACAACCAAATCCAATGCGAGTAAACCTATTGCCAGTAAGCCTAATGGAAATAAATCTAAATACAAATCAAAAATTGTTAATATGCAAAAGAAACAAAGCACATTGGCTAGTAGCAATAAAAAAAGTAAAGTCAATACAGCCTTGAGGAACTTAAGGTAAACTTTTATTCCTAATGTACAATGCTAGTTTAAACTCATGTTTAAAAATGTTATACTTTGGTTAGCAGAACATTAATAAGGCTATATCTTATTATCTTTATTTAAAAATATTTTTTATAATTTTCTTTATGTCTCCATAAGGTATCGTCGGGGCATTCACAAGTGCATTGAGTGTTGTTCTGAAATAAAAGATTTTGCAAACCACTTTCCTACATACGTCCACTGTAGTTTTTGCAGATACAACACTAGCTGTAGCAAAGCCTATGTAAATCATATGATGAGGTAAGATGAATTAAACATATAAATTTTCAATGATTATTATAGTTCAGCAAGTTTTTGTTTTAAAAACAAAGAATCCTGTCAGCAGTCAGAGTTCTCCTTTAAAGCTAAGCTAAGGAATCTAGCAATAAGAAACATGTAGGATATTATTTGATACCACTTCCCAGCATAATAATTCAAGAAGCTATTGGACTAAAGTTGTAAGAACAGTTAAAACTGTTGAAATTTGGATAGGCTTGTTAGGGAAACACTTTATCTTGGGAATTTTCTTTCCTATAAGGATTTCAAAAATGGTTATTTTCAAACAGAATTTTAAAAATTCTAAATACATTTACCAAACAGACACTTGTAATCTTTAAGTCAACTTTGAGAGACTTAAAGATTTTCAGTGATGTTAGAAATTTTACTGGGTTTGTTTCTGTCTTTATAGTTCATGTGTCTGTCCATCCATTTGTCCAGCTGTTCATCCATCAGGCTATCTGTACTTGAATCCATTCCATGATAAGGAGAGACTATGCCCGTCATAATTGCTATTATTTTTCATTAATTCATTCAATTTAGGTTATTTGAATACTTACTATTTACTATATGCTAGGAAAACCCTTCAGAGCCCTTATTATTTACTTGAATCTCACTATTAGGAGTATACTTTATTTCCTCAGGATAGACTTTCAGTTTTAAAAAAAAAGTCAAACGTTGCTTGTAAACTTGATACATTGATTATTCAAAGCGAGGTAGTTAAATATTTTTTAAAATGGAGATTAATGTATAATATCAGTGAATATGAAGATCATAACATGATCTTTATGTCACATTCTGGTCATTATCAGCTATTGCTTTCAAGGATTCTTTATCTTTCTTGGTGTCTTTAGCATTTCCCTCACATTATTGTTCCTTCCTTGATAATCTGCCTGACTTCATGGCACCTTGACTTCTTTACTACTAATATTGCCTGTCAGCTTTTAAGTTCTTACACCTGGTTTCTTCCTACAGTACTATTTTGATCTCATTCTGTATACTGTTCATTCCTTTCGAATTCCCATCCCCCCCCCGATATTCTGGGCTTTGATTTATTTTTCCAGTCTAGCAGTATCCTACAAGCTACAGATGATTGATTGATAGTCATTATTTGATATAATTATAAAAGGCCCTGAATATAATCTCAAAATATAGCACTCAAAAATCTTGAAGCAGCTGGAGCATAGTTAAGACTCTCTTAAAATTGGGACCAGCAGTTGGCATAATGGCTATGTCTCTGGAATCCCATGTAGTCAACTGCGGTTTGAGTCCTAGACCTGGTGGCTTAAATTCACGCCGGGTGCGTGTGCGTGCATGCCCAAGATCCCGAGAGGAGAATGGAGGAGAAGGGATTGCAGCATGGCCATCCCCCCGGGAGTGATTTCTCTCTTTCTGTCTCTCTGTCTTTCTGGAGAGCACATGCGCAAAAAAGCACTCAAAAAAACAAACAAACAAAAAAAAACCAAAAAAAAACAGATTCTCTTAAAGGATAGTGTCACTGCAGATGTAACATTTAAGTCCTTTATCCCCCAAGTAGCAATATTTGGGTTTAATTTAAATTACTGCACTTTGTTTGCCTGTATATAGCTTTTAGGTAGTAAAAGAAATCATCTGAAAACATGCAAATGAATTAATTCATAATATTGCTATTTTTCTCAAAATTAGGTATAAGAAGGCTTTTTCTCTACAGAAAGTTAATGGCATAACTAATTTCTCTCTTTTTAACAGCAGTTTATTTCAGCCCAGGTTTATTTCAACAAATATTCATTATGTACCTACTAGGAAGGTATAATTTACTAATAAGTATGGCAAGCTGATGGGGAAAAATAACACAAATCTGAATTTGAATACAAGTTTTGCCATTTATTAGATTGTTGGGAAAGTCAAGACATGCTTGCTATATAAAAATGCATCATGATTCTCCCAGCAACCCAGTATTACCTGTGAGACTTAGAGCAAGGTACTTAAACTCTCAGTTTGCCTTTCTGCAAGGAAAAAAAAAAAAGGTTTTTTTTGTTTTACAAAAAATGTACGTAAAGTGCTTAATGTGATAAACACATGATTATGAGAGCACAGAGGAGGTTAGGATGAATTTTTAAAACAAGAAATACAGGCAGACTTTATTTTATACATTTAATCAACATCCCTCTGCTTGTAAGTTGAACTTACCCATCATGAATCCACTTCACACCAGTCCAGTGCATGTTACAAAACACATTATCATCAACAAATAATAAACCACTTCTGTGAAGGGAAGACGTTCTAGAAATAACATTTCACTTGGGCTTTGAAGGATAATTTTTTACATTTTGAAGGAATTTTGGTATAAAATTTTGTTTTATACAGTGGGGAACCCAGAGTACTGAATTTTTAAAAGACCTACTTGAGTTTATCCTATATTTTATATGGATTTATTGGCACTAAATTAAAGTCCTTAGAAAAATAGTTGGATTATTGTGATAGCATCATAACTGGCCTTCTTTCTGTAATTTTTTCCCTTTTTTCCTGTCCATCCTTTCTTTTGCTACTGGAGTAGCCATATGTGGTCTGGTCATTTTGTAGCCTAAAATCTTTTGACTTCCTAACATTGATAGAATGAAGTTGAAATGTTCTGGAGACTTTACTATCAAATTTCTAACTACTTTTTTAAAAAATCTGCTTAAACTCCTTTTATTTTCTTAAAGATCCTTCTATATCTTCACAGTTGCTCTTTGCTTTGCCTAGAACAAATTTCAAAATTTCTAACCTGAAATGAACTAATCGTTAGCTGACTTCTACCCCATCTACCAGCCACTTACAGAACTCTATAAGTGTTACTACTGATTTTCATTTTATTTTATTTATGAATGTAAATTCATTCATTTAGCAAATTTTTATTGGATGTTTATTCTGTGCCAGTCTCTGTCACTCTCCCTCTTAGAGAGTGAACCCTGTGGTAGGCAGCTTGCCATTTTTGTTATTGTATTATAATCTTCTAGTCTAACACTTCAAATATTAGGTATATCATAAATATTATTGGCTGTTAACACAGTTGTTCCTGTTGTGGTTCTTAGAAAGAAGTTACTTAAACAGAATCACAATTGCTGGGACCATCAGATGGTGTAATGGTTACGTTGCTAGACTCCCACATAGTTGACTGTGGTTCAAGTCCCAACCCAGTGGCTTAAAACTCATGCTGAGCATGTGTGCATGTGTGAGTGCACACCCAAAATCCCGAGAGGACAATAGAGGAGAAGGGATTGGTGTGGCCACCTCTCTGGAGGGTTCTTTCTCGCCTTTTGTCTCCTGTTCTCTCTCTCCCTCCAGCAAGTGCATTTGCCCTATAGCAAAAAAGCTCTCTGTCAAAAAAAAAAAAAAATTACTAAAAAAATATGGTCAAAGGATTTTTTGTTTGTTTGTTTGTTTTGGTTCTCTTTCTGTCTTTTTTTTTTTTTTGAAGTATACTTTGCACAAAATTTCACTTGGACCAGGCCAAGGTTTGTGGGGTCCCCAAAGACTGCATTTCTAGATAAGCTCTCAGGTAATGTTGATCCTGTTAGTAATTAGAAATACTGTTGTAAACTCAAATCCTGGTTTTCTAGTACAGGAAAGCTTTCCTTACCAGAATTAAATGGTATGTAGAAGTTATTCTCATTGGCCACAAAATTTGCTTAGTGGTTTTCTGTTTTGTGCTTTGGCGAAGCATTTTTTTGATAAGTTCTGGTATAATATTTTTTAAAAACCTCTGCTATTAATTTCAGAGAACTCTCCAAATGTTTGAACTTAACAGTTGCAAAGCAGTGGCGTTTAGCTCAAATCCTTTTTATTTCCCAAGTCATTTGGATTCTACCCTCCTTCTCTCACATAAACATGTTAGGATTGGAAAGGGACTTTTTAAAAAAAGATTATTATTAACTATTGATACTATTGCAAAAAATATGTTACCAGCAAAAATTTTGAATTGTGTTCAATCCTTAATAGATAAAATTTTTTTATTTGATGCTCACTACATTATTATTTTTTTGAGAAATTTTTGCCATAAGATGCATATGCTTGCAGGAGAGACAGAGACAGACAAAGCGAGAAGTCAAACCCCCCACCCCATTCTTCCCTCAAGATTTTGGGTGTGCACGCATGTACACTATGTGTCTTTACTACTACACCACCTGCTGGCCCCTCTACATTTTTTTAAAAATTCTTTAAATATTTCTTTTTTAGGTAGTGATAAGGTACTGATCACCTAAGGATATGCTTAGGGAATTATGTGTACATAGAAAACAAACAGGTCAACTGGAATATAAAATGTCCTTGGAGTTAGGAAGTGGCATGGCAGTTGAGGTACTGAACTCCCACGTGGCCAATTTTGATTTGAGTCCCAGACCCTGTGGCTTGAAACTCACACCAGGCACATGTGTGTGCATGCCCACCCACAATCCCAGGAGGAAAATAGAGAAGAAAGGATTGTTGGGTGACCATCCCTCTGGGGGTTGATTTCTTGCTTTCTGTCTCTGTCTTTGACTCTGTCTCTCTCCAGTGAGTGTATGCACCCTATAGCAAAAAAAGTGCCCAAAATAAATAAGTAACAAAATGTTCTTAAAACAGGGCTGGCAAATGTTTTATTATTTACACCATGCGCTTTTGTTAAAAACTAGAAACTTAAGTATAGACTTGAAATATAGTTATAAATAAGTATGAATTACTGTGTAATAAAATTATTAAAATCTCTTTTGTTTCTCCAGCTTTCATAGTAACCGTCCAAGTAAAAGGTTTTGTATATTTAAGAAACATTCAGATCATCTCAGGTAACTTGTTGATCTTTTCTTTCTACTGAAAAAAATATTATGACTTAAGCTTTTTTTTTTTTACATAACAGCTTTGTTGAAATATAATTCACGTGCATTTAAACATGTACAATTCATAGGTTTTATTATATTCTCTGAGTTGTGCAGCAGTTACCACAATTAATTTTAGTTTATTTTCATTACTCCTAAAAAAAATTCTGTACCCATTAGTAGTCAATCCCCATTTTGTTTCAACTCTCCCCACTCTAAGTAACCAACCACTCATTCATTTTCTGTCTGTAAAGATTTGCCTGTTCTGAATGTTTCATATAAATGGGATGGTACACTATGTGGTCCTTTGTGACTGGCTTTTTTAATTACTGTGATTTCAAGGTTGATCCATGTTACAACATTTATCAATACTTAATTTTTTTAACTTACTGATAGTTTATCTACTTGGGTTTTCATTTTAAGGCTATTAGGAATAATGCTACTATGAACAGTTGCATACAAGTTTTCGTATGGACATGTCTTTTTATTTCTGTTTAACCTATACTTAGATTGGAATAGTACGGTTATGTGGTAACTCCATGGTGAACCTTTGAGTTGAGGAATTGCCAGACTTTTCCAAAGTAGTTCCATTATTTTACATTCCCACCAGCAGTATGTGAAGGTTCCAGTTTTTCCACATCTTTGCTAATATTTGTTACTATCTTTTTTGGTTATAGCTATCCTAGTGGGTATGACAAAATATCTCACTGTGATTTGCCTATAACATTTTTTTAACCTGATACTGGGGGGCCGAATATAGATATCTAAATCACTGCTACTGGACAGAGTTGTGTTCATTATAGCTTTAGACCAGAGTGTGATTAGCCACTGTTTGCTTGCTAAATTTATTTCACTGATGACAGGTGGTGTCCAGATAAAACCTTCACATATATGCATTGTAAAGTGAGAACACAGCTTTCTGTCTCATAGGCTAGCCAGTGGCATGGTAGTTAAGGCAGGTGGCTCCACTTTAGCTGACTGCACAGTTCAAGCCCCAGACCTGGAGGCTCGAAACACATGCTGAGTGTGTCTATGTACACATGTGTGCATGTGCCCAAAATCCCGAGTGGAGAGATGGAGGAGAAGAGATTGCAGTGTGACCATACCCAGTGGGGATGCTTTCCCACTCCCTCCTCACTTTCTCTCCAGTGAGCTTATACGCCCTACAGCAAAGTAAGAAAAATAATAACAATAAAGCCCTCCAACAATCTGAATAGTAAAAATATACCTAGTAATGTAATAACTTTTCCATTTTGAGGTAATAAATATTAGGTTGTCAGAAAAATTATGTGTTTTTCTATGTAAAAATGCACCATGACTTTTCTGAGAACCCAATAGATAAGTACAACCTAGTTACTATACAGAAAGGATTGATGAAGTATTTCTTTTCTTTTCTCTCTTTTTTTTTGTAAAAAAGAGATTTTTGCTATAGGGAGTGTGTGCTTGCTGGAGAGACAGAGACAGAGAGACAGAAATCAAGAAATTACCCTCCGGGGGAAGACCACACTGCATTCCTTTTTCCTCTATTCTCCTCTGGGGATTTTGGGCATGCACACACACATGCCTGGTGTGAGTTTCAAGCCTCTAGGTCTGGGGCTTTAACCATGGTCAGCCATGTGGGAGTCCAGCAATGTAACCATTACACCGTCAGCTGGTCTCAGAACTGATGAGTATTTCTAAAGACATTTATTATTAGCTTTGGTTATACAACCATACATTTAACTTAGACTCCTTGGAGCACCATTTCTTCCTATTCTTCTGATCTTTTTGTATGCCATCTTCCTTAATTTTGTTCATGCTATCATTGGTCTTTGAACTATCTATGTCTTTGCTTCGCCAATTTAGCCAATACTTATATGGATACTTTGCGTTGTTAGAAAAAGTAAAAGAGGGGATGATATTATTCCTCAGTATCTTTGTATTTATTATTCCCTATACCTAGTTTTATTTCATTAGGTCCTTTATCTCCTTTATGTCTCTACACTGAAAAGTGAGACTTTCCTTGACTACTATATTTAAAATTGTGTCCTTTCTACCACGTTTCACCCAAGTACTCTCTATGTCCTTTTTATGCTTTATTTTTCTCTGAATCGTCTGAGAAACTGTATATTTTACTTTTTTGTTTATTGATGGTATCCTCTCATTGTATTGATGTGTGGTTTCTTAAATTAATTTTTCAATTAAATTTTATTTATTCATTCAATTTATTATTATTGCTATTATTATTATTATTATTGAGAGGTTTTTGCTATAGGGTGCGTGCACTCACCAGACAGACAGAGACAAAGAGACAGAAAGCAAGAAATCACCCCCCCAGGGGAGATGGCCACACCACAATCCCTTCTCCTCTGTTCTCCTCTTGGGATGTTGGGCACGCACACACACGCGCCCGGCGTGAGTGTAAGCCACCGGGTCTGGGACTCGAACCGCGGTCAACTACGTAGGAGTCCAGCGACATAGACATTACACTAACTGCTGGTCCTAATTATTATTATTTTATAAATTTAACTAGAGAGAGGCACAGAGAGAAAATGAGAAAGCGAGCCACCAGGTCTAGACTCGAACCATGGTCATCCATGTGGGAGTGTCCAGCACCTTAAGCACCATGCCACCTGCTGGTGCCCAGTTTGGTGTGTGTGTGTGTGTGTGTATGTGCACATGTGTATGCCAGGCATGTAGTAAGGCACTCAGGAAATATTTGTGGAATAATTTAATGTATATGTTGAGAATGAAAATGGTGTATTTGGACAATATGTTCCATCTAGGATAGCTCACAGAGAAAAAAATTAGACTGAGGTTTCAAAAACATATTAGTACTACTTATAAAACATTTATTGAGTCCAGTTAAGCTACATAAGATGTTGACTTTACTGAAAATGTAGAAGAATGAAAAGAATTTTATTGCATTATGAAAATGAGAGTTTAATTTATTTTTTTACCTTTACAGTTGTCTAAGCTCAGATGTGTGCTTGGTTTTTAAATGTACTATGTGATTTTAAAAATCTGTAGTGTCGGTCCAGCATGTGGTATGATGGTTAAGGTGCAGGATCTCATGTGGCGGACTCCGTGATTTGCTTCCTGAACCCAGCAGCTTGAAAAACGCCCTGGGAATGTGTGCCCAAAATCTCAAGGAAAGATTGGAGAAGGGATTGGTGTTTGGCCATCCCCGCGGGAATGATTTCTTAGTTTCCCTCTTTCTCTTATCTTTGTCTCTTTCCAGTGAACACACATACGTTTTGACAAAAACCTTAATTTTAAAAACGGGTGCTTTTCCCAGGGGCCAGCAGGTGGTGTGTTGGTTAAGGGTGCTAGACTCCCACATGTCCAACCGTGGTTCAAGTCCCGGACCTGGCAGCTTGCTTTCTCACTTTTTCTCTCTCTCTCACTCTGTCCCTCTCTGATCAAATTTAAAAATAAATAAATAAATAAATAAATAAAGTTAATTAATTCTTTAAAAAAAAAGTTTGTTTGTTTGTTTTTTTGGAGAGGTTTTTGTTATAGGGCGCATGCACTCGCTAGACAGAGACAGAGAGACAGAAAGCGAGAAATCATGCCCCGGGGGGATGGCCACACCGCAGTCCCTTCTCCTCCATTCTCCTCTTGGGATCTTGGGCACGCACACACACGCGCCCGGTGTGAGTTTAAGCCACCGGGTCTGGGACTCGAACTGCGGTAAACTACATGGGAGTCCAGTGACATAACCATTATGCTAACTGCTGGTCCCGCCACTTTTTAAAAATACTATGTCGCTGGACTCCCACATAGTCGACCGCGGTTTGTGTCCCGGACCCAGTGGCCTAAAACTCACGCCGGGCGCGTGTGCATG